ACTCCATTGTTTTTGCATGGGGGCCGGAGGACATGCCAGGAATTGACCGAAGGGTTATCACCCACCGCCCAGCGGTAGACCCTTCGGCCAAACCAGTACAACAGCGAAGAAGACCCCTCTCGGCCGAGAGAAGGGAGTTCGTGAAGAAGGAGGTATCTATGCTCCTCTCCATCAAACACATTAAGGAGGTGAAATACCCTTCTTGGTTAGCGAACGTAGTCCTCGCACAGAAGCCTCCTACCTTCCGTATGTGCGTGGACTACACGGATCTGAATAAGGCATGTCCCATGGACCCCTTCCCACTGCCAAACATTGACCAATTGGTGGATGAGACCGCCGGATGCGAAATCATGTCATTCCTCGACGCATTCCGCGGATATCATCAAATCTACATGCATGAGGAGGACGCTGAAAAAACTGCCTTCATGACACCCGAAGGCATCTTCTGCTACCTTGTGATGGCCTTCGGCCTAAAAAATTCAGGCGCCACCTACACATGTATGGTGGCTAGGGTTTTTCGAGCTGTCCTGGGACGCACCATGGAGGCTTACGTTGACGACATGATCGTCAAAAGCAAGAAGGCAGGCACCCACGCCGACGACCTCCGGGAGATTTTTGCCATCATGCAAAAATTCAACCTCCGGCTAAATCCAAAGAAGTGCACCTTCGGCGTACAAGGAGGAAAGTTCTTGGGCTACATGGTCAGCCGAAGGGGTATTGAGGCCAACCCCGAGAAGATTCAGGCCATCATCAACATGGAGCCCCCACGCAACGTCAATGAAGTTCAACGGTTGACGGGTCGGCTGGCGGCCCTCAACCGATTCCTCTCTAAGTCAGCCGAGAGGGCCCTCCCCTTCTTCCAAATCATGAGGAAGACGGCGGGTTTTCAATGGACATCTGAATGTCAAGAGGCCTTCGACGAACTCAAGAAGTACCTCTCCTCTCCCCCAGTGCTCTCCAAACCAAAGGTGGGGGAGACTTTATACTTATATCTCGGTGTTAGCCCTGCGGCTATCAGCTCAGTACTAATCCGAGAGGAAGACGGCATCCAACACGCCATCTTCTACGTCAGCAAAACCCTCCGGGAGGCCGAACTCAGGTATTCTCCCGTCGAGAAGACGGTGCAAGCCATCGTTTGGACCGTCAAGAAGCTTGGCCACTACTTTCAAGCTCATCCAGTCCAGGTGCTCACTCATCAACCCCTCGGCGCCCTCATGAGGAGTCCCACTAGCTCCTCCCGGATGGTGAAATGGGCCATCTTCCTCAGCCAATACAACATAAATATCCGTCCGAGGCCTGCCATCAAGGGCCAAGCCCTGGCAGACTTCGTAACGGAATGCACCGCGAGATCAGCGGTGGATGAGGAGCCTTCGGCACCCCTTGATGAGTGGTGGACCCTCTATACCGACGGCTCCTCGGCTACCAAAGCATGCGGAGGGGGAGTAGTTCTCATCACACCCGAGGGCTTCCGCGCCTATTATGCCATCCGCTTCTCCTTCAAGGTCTCCAATAACGAGGCCGAGTACGAAGCCCTCCTCTGTGGCCTTCGGCTGGCAGCGAATATGAAGGCTAAAATGATCCACGTCAAATGTGACTCCAAACTCGTCGTGGGTCAAATTTCCGGGGAGTACGAAGCCAAGGAAGGGAGGATGAAACAATACAAGGAGGCCGCCAAGGAGTTGCTTAAGGTATTTGAGGCACATTCTCTTACCCAAATACCGAGGGCTCAAAACTCTGAGGCCGACATTCTATCCAAGCTCTCGGATGAGTCTCCCGAGCACCTCTCAAAAATTGCAAGAATTGAGGAACTCAGCCTCTCAAGCATCCACGCGAGCCCCGTCATGAACATTAACCTGAGGCCGGAGGATTGGATCTCCGACATCATCGCCTTCATCAACACAGGGCAACTGCCCCAAGATGAAGCCCGCGCAAAGTTAACAAAGCTGAGGGCTCCCAGCTACACCATCGAAAACGGGAGGCTTTACAAGAGATCTTACAACGGCACCCTCCTTCGGTGCCTTCATCAAGATGAAGCCGAAGTCGCCATGGAGGAAGTGCACAGTGGCACTTGCTCAGCTCACCAGGGACCCTTCTCCATGTCCCGAAGGCTCATAGTTCAGGGCTACTTCTGGCCCACGATGGCTGGAGATTGTGCTGATCTGGCCCGAAGGTGCTCCGCTTGCCAACACTTTCAGAAGGCCCCCGGCAGACCAGCGGTCAACTATGCTCCCATCAGCACTGCTATTCCCTTCTCCAGATGGGGTATTGACTTAGTAGGCCCTTTGCCGAGGGGTACCTCCAACAACAGGTATATCATTGTGGCCATTGACTACTTCACCAAATGGGTAGAGGCCGAACCCCTCGCCAGCATCACTGAGGCCCGGTGCCGCCACTTTGTTCTTAAAAGTATTCTCACAAGGTTTGGCGTCCCCCAACAAATTATCTCCGACAACGGGACTCAGTTCGAGGCAGCCCCCTTCTGTGCCCTCCTGGAGGCATGGGGCATCAAGCACACCTTTTCATCCGTTGCCTACCCTCAGGGCAACGGGCAAGTGGAAAATGCCAACCGCACCCTCCTCGAGGGGTTGAAGAAGAAGCTAGAAGCCGAAGGGGGAGGCTGGGTAGAAGAGCTTCACAACATCTTATGGGCCTACCGCACCACCCCTCGGCGGGCGACAGGCGAAACACCCTTCTCCCTATGCTATGGTTTTGGGGCAAAGGCTCCAACAAAAGTGACCCTTCCGACCCGAAGGGTGGAACAATATGAGCCCGAGGTCAATGACGCCAACATGGCCCTCGACCTTCATCTCATCTCGGAACGCCGAGAGCAAGCTTTCCTCAGGGCCGAAAACTATATGAGACAAGTCAAAGGATACATCGACGCCAAGGTCCGCTCCCGGGAATTCCAGGTGGGAGACTACGTCCTCCGACGAAGGGAGGCCAGCCTACCCACCGAAGGAGGAAAGATGGCGCCCAAGTTTGAAGGCCCCTACATCATCTCAGCCATCATCAAACCAAGGACATACAAGCTTAAACGTCCCAATGGGACGGAGGTCCCTAGACATTGGAATGTGCACCACCTTGTCAAATTCTATCAATAAGGCATGAGCGGCCAAGCCCTCATCCTCAGCATGTGTAAATATCAATGGCCCAAGGCCCCATCTGTTTTTGAAGAATAATCGCGAGGCCAAGCCTTCATCACCTACATATTGTACAAACGGCCCAAGGCCCCCTTCCCTCCTACACATGAGTGGCCAAGCCCTCATCTCTCCGCCAAAATAGGCCCAAGGCCTCTCCCTCTGATGAGGGGGAACAACAATTTAGGTACCAAGTACCAAGTGTATGGGTCACCCCCATCACTCTTTGAAAACACCAAGTGTTTTCTCACTATGCCGTACCCCACGAGGACGCAATCATGCATACATTATGCACACTTTTATATATCCTCCAAAAAAAAAAAACCGGGGGGTGTAACACCCCTCGGCTCCGGCTGGTACCAAGTGCCCCCGGCTATTTGTGTTCCACACACAAATAAAACCCTTCCCAGGAACGCTTTCCGCGCCATCCCCCAAGGGGAGGCAGGCAATGGACCATGTCCCGGGCCCAGGATTCGACTTCCACAAACGAAACGCTCCCCGCGCTATCCCCCAAGGGGAAGCAGGCAACAGACCATGTCTCGGGCTGAGGGGACGACTTTCAAAACCGAGGCGCTTTCCGTGCTATCTCCCAAGGGGAAGCAGGCAACAGACGATGTCTCGGGCCGAGGAAACGACCCTCAAACCCTTCGGGATATCGGAAGGTCATTCCCGAAGGGGGAGCCAACGGTTCGTTTCGTTGCCTCCCACATAGGCCAAGCCTTTCCTAGAAACCAAGTTTCTAGATGCCTCTCCTACACCATCTTAAAAAAAAAAAAAAAAAAGATGTGTAGGGGGGAAGGAACTCCCCGGATACTATTCTCCCCGGAGGCTCAACACTTCGGATATACATTCCCGAAGGCTCCTACAAAGGCACAAGAAAGTCTCGCAACAACAAGTCATCTGGCTACATAGCCGAAGGCTTCATTGCATGAAACCTTGGAGTACAAGATTTCCACCGGAGGCCCAAGAAGATTTCGGCTGGATCAAAGTCAACCATGTAACATGCCGAAGGCTACACAAAGTTCTAAGGCAGCCTAAACCTATGTCTACACAAACCGGAGGCTTCATGCCGAAGGCAGAATATCACCAGACTCATTTAAGGATGAAAGAATTTATAAGTCCACGTATTAGCATCCTTCGGGAAACACTCATCGAACCGGGGGGCTACTCACAAGATCTGTGGGAAACACATCTCAGAATTTCACTAAGACCATAATCTCGAACCCCTCGGTGGACTCACACACTGGGGGCTTAGAAGGGCCTCATACCAGAGGGTTCAGTACAACAACTATGTGAAGTTTGTGAAAAATGGCTAAGTCCACAAATGTGGACCCTTCGGGAGGGCAATTCTTCACCTACAGACTCATGGCCGATGGCCTCCCAAACTACTTGGCAATGGCCAGGAGCTACACTACTAAATGAAGGCTTCCAAGGCTTCCGGGGGCATAAGATGCAATTTCACTTGGAAAATTTTAGCCCTCGGTCCTAACTCTACAACCGGAGGCGATGGCAATGGCTCATCACCGAAGGCACGCCCTGGGATTTTACTCAAGAAATTTTCTAAGTCCGCAACCACAAACCCCCCGGTGATTCTACTCTACAACCGAAGGGTTCTGATCAGGTTTTACTTAGAAAGTTTTCTGAGTCCGTAGCTTTGGGTGGATGTGATCAAGTTTTTTACTTGGAAAAATTTCTAAGTCCACAACAACAAGCCCCCGGTAATTCTACACTACAGCCGAAGGCTTGTAAGGAGTCGCACTCAGGAATTTTTCTAAGTCCACAAAGGAGAACATCATACATTCAAAATGCGAAGGATGGAAGAGAAGCAAAGACATACATTCATTCATACAATAAAATGAGACCCGAGGGCAAAACATTCATCACCGAAATATACAAGTGCAGAGGATGTTTGTTTACAAATACAGTGGACCGAGGCCGAAGACTACAAACTATTACAAAATTATGCTTAAGGGAATTTCAAGCTGGGGCATTCTCGGCTCCATCCTCCTTCAGCTTCGAAGCGACATCCTCCCCGGCGGCTTTCGAGGTAGCCTCCTCCTCTTCATCATCATCGGCCTCTTTCATCAGCTCCGAGTCTTCGAGATCCGGTCTCTCGACACCCTCGGGGAGTGGGACTCTCACATCAGGCTGTAGTGGGGGGAGGCCATACGCCGACGGGTCAAATTTCTTCGGATCAATCTTGAGGTGCCTGGCGAGCCTCCGGTAGATGAGGTCTTGAGTGAAAAACTCGCCACCGTCATAATAGTCTTTGCCCTTTCGGGCTAACCATAAAGCCCCGGGGTCCTTCACCCAATCATCAACCGAGGCCTCCACCACCGAAGACAGCCATTGTTTGTGCTCTTCAGCCTTCCACCCCTCAGCAACAAAGGCGGCGATGGCATCTTTCTCTGCCCGAGCAACGGCCTCCTTCTTTGCGGCCTCTGCTTCCTCCGCAGCAACCTTCGAGGCTTCGGCGGCAGCCCTCTCAGCATCAGCCTTGCCCTCGGCCCTGGCGATTATTTTGTTGTTCTCAAGAATGGAGTTAAACGCCTCCTTCTCCAGCCGGAGGGTCTCTTGGGCCTCCTGGAGTTGCCGCCGGGACTCCGCCAGGGCCTCGTCGGCCTGCAGCTTCTGCAACTGGTAACGCTCCATCCTCTGGAGCAGTTCTCCGAGACCGAGGGCAGCCTACGAATCAACACCATCAAATAACAAGGGTTAAGTTATCAAGATAAAGATATGCCAAAGACAACTCAGAGAAAAAGGAGAAGAAAAAGACTTACGGTGACGGAGGCCTGGAGCACTTTTGCGCTGAGGGCATCATCTTTGTCCCTCGAAAGCACCGACTTGTCGGTCGGGGGAGTGGCGCCCTTCAGGAACTCCCTCGGGCTGAGGGTGCCATGCATGATGGCAGTCCCCTTGGTGATGGAGAACTTCACATCATCTCGGGGCCAAGCCAAACTCTTACCTTGGTCCCCGGGAGGGGGGGAGAGCGTTCGCCGAGGGGGAGGAAGAGGATTGTTCCTCAACAACAACGACAGGGGCGTCCGTCTTCTCGGGGCCCCCCTTCTTCTTCTTCTTCTTCTTCTCCGAAGGCATCACGCCCTTCCCGGAGTTTTTCCTCTTGTGCTCCGCCTTGGAGCCCCCGGCACCAGCACCGGTATCAACAGCTTGGGAGGGTCCCTCACCCTCTGGGACCTGAACAGCCCCATCCTTCCGGAAGAAATCATCGACGGGTTTCTGAACCCCCGTCTCCTTCTTCTTCTTCGGCTCCTTGGCCAGCTTCTTCTTCAGCGCGGCGAAGTTGGAAACGTCCATGCTAACGCCTGCAAAACAACAGTAAAGTCAGACCAAAGGGGTCAACTACAGAAGAAGGGAAATGAGGAAATACAAAAATCCTAAGTACAATAAGGCAGACCCTTCGGTAACTACCTCCAATGTTACCAAAGGCCCTCTCAAAGACAGGGTACTGTTCGTCCTTTTCACCCAGGAAACGATACCGCCGGAAGCCGAGGGCCAGCAAATCTTCCGGGAGAGTCGAGTCTTTGACGGTCACGTGCTTCGTGGCCCCCTCCGGCAGAGCACATATCTTCTTCCCGTCCTTCTGGAGGGCAGCACTTCCCACCTTCGGGTGCCTCCGGAAATGGTTACGTAATGCCCTCGGAAAGGGGTTCTCCGCCACTTTGATGTAGCAGAAACGGTCTTTCCATCCCTTGTGAGATGAGGGCACGTCGTCAAAAAGCCTCCACGGGGCAATCTGCTGCAAATTTGCGAACCCCTCGGAATTGGTGTGCCCCCCCGGCAAAGGTTGAAACTCTGGAAGAAGAGGTCGAGGCTCGCAGTCACCCCCCGGGACTGGCAGAGTTGCAGAAACCCAGTGATGTAGGAATGGCTGTTCGGGGTTAGCTGACAGGGGGCTAACCCCACGTACCTGAGGTACTCAAGAAGAAATGGGTGCAATGGGAACCGAAGGCCCATGGCAACTGATAGCACATGGACGGCGAAGCATCCTTCGGGAGCCTGGGAGAGGAGATCGTTGGGCCCCGGTTCAATCACCTCCGCCGAGGGGCCCACATGCAGCTGAGTAACGTAGCACTCTGCCCGGTCAGCCCTCGACCTAAGCGCGAGGGCGGCTGTATTCAACCAAGAGTGTCCCTCGGGGATCCCCACAGGCTTCCCACAATCTGCGGCAGGTTGCTTCTTCTTCTTCTGAGAAACCTTCGTCTTCTTCCTCTTCTTCCCCACAGCAACGCTGAGGGGTTCTGGATCTAGTGGCCGGGAGGTGCTCGCCTCGCCGGCACCACGAAGCGGGAGGACAGCAATTGTGACCTCTTGTCTCTCCTTCTCTTCTTCTTCCTCAGCTACTTGGAGGGCGAGGGCCATTTCTTCATCTTCGACAACCTGCTCGAACTCCTCCGCCTCCAGCTCAGTGCGAAGGTTATTTTGAACTTCCTCGGCAACCGCTGAATCGTTGTTCGCCGAGGATTGCGCACTCGAGGACTCCACGTCCGAGTAGCTTCCCTGTTGTGCCGACGGCTCCCCCGAGATATCTTGGGAATCGCTTTTGAGAGGACATGATTCTGAAGGAAGAATAGGAGAAGTGTGGCTGAGGGGGACTACCTAAATGTTCCTACCGAAGGCTACTAAGACCTCTAACACAAGATCTAAGGGAGAAAAGCGAAGTATGCTAGTAAAGCGAAGAACGGGTGAAGAACTGACCTCGAAACTTGGGGTTTGATCGAACAGGGCTTTCTCTCTCTAGAAAACAAAAGGGCAGAGCTTCGCTATCACAAATATCGCACAAGGAATATGAATTCGGGCTTGGGGTATTTATAGGCTCCCAGCCTCGAAATCTGGACTTCAATTTAAAAAGGCCATCATTACGGGCCGCCGGTTCAGCCAATGGATGGCCGCCGCCCGCCTTCAACCAACGACTACACGCCACGTCAACTCCCCTTCCAACGGCTATATTACAACGACTATACTTCGACAACACTGGGGTGCCCTCGAATGATAGCCTCCGGCTATCACTCACCACAACCTTCAGCCAATGAATTCCAACATAGCGCTTTCGAGCTGGCAGCAATAAGAGCCTTCGCTTGTCAATGTTGCCACTCCTCGACGCGTATACTGGATGGTAGCCCCCGGCCACCACCTGCGAGAGGCTTCGAGCAGATAATAGTATAAGCTTGCGGCTAACCCCTCGGGGGACCCAACAACACATTATAACTCCTTCAGCCCGAACTCGCCTTCGGCCTAAAGGAGTGGGGGACTGGGACACACCCCACGGGAATCACACCCTTCGGCGGAGACAGAATATCAAAAGTTTTCCACAAGTCACTTGCGGAAATGAAGCAGCCCTCATCACAACACATGCAGGCAATACATCTATGCTTTCCCCAGAAAACCCTCGACATGTGAGGGACTGAGGGGAGCCCCCGGCGAACATGCGAAGGTTATGAATACCTTCCCTCAGAAAACCCTCGACATGTGAGGGACTGAGGGGAGCCTTCGGCAATCAGCAGAAGGCAAATTCTCAAACAAAGGCACCCAAACAGACGATGAAGCCTCCGGAAGTACCAACACTTCTACTCCTTTTCCCTCAAGTACCTTTCGGCAAAAAGAGTGAGGGACTCCTGATGGAGTATATGGCCCAGGAACCCCCGGCCCATAGACTCCTACTTCTCCTACACAAGTCCATTGAGCTCAGGAAACGACTCAGGCCCAAATACAACGGCCCAAGCCTCAAAGTAGCCCAGAATACGCACTGGGGTGCCTTCGGCCTCCTTGGCCGAAGGCTCCAGAAACTCACGAAGTAGCCCTATCTCACATATGAGGCCACTGGGAGAAAACGGCGAAAAACATGAGCCTTCGGCATTACCAAGCCCTCGGCATTAGGGAACCCTTCGGCTGAACTTAGCCCTCTGTCACTCGGGGCCTTCGGCTACACAGGGGTCCTTGGTTACATTTACCCCTCGGCCGCACAAGGAGCCTTCGGCCAAACACTCTCAATCATCGAAGATTCCTTTTGGGGACAACCAACCACCGCATTTAATGCCACGTCACATCCGCCAACCGCATTCAATGCGGTGAACGTACCACTGTCGGTGCCACCAAGCTGATGTGACCCTTCGGCCGTTGGATTACTGACACGTGTACTCTCATCGCATTTATTGCTGCTATAAATAGCAGCCCATTTCTCCTTGTAATGGACATCGACACCCCAACTCCACACGCTGAGTTCATTTAATAAAATCGACTCTCTCTCCTCCTATTTGCTCTGACTTCTCTCTAAGTTATTCCCGCAATAACCCTCGGATAAGATACCCCCCGGGTAGACCATCCATCAGATGGAACTCCTTCCAAGCGAAAGGCTGGGTTTTTGCTGGAAAGGCTGCTACTGGGCTGATTTTGATGGGTATTTTGGCCCTTTGACTGGATTTGGCTACCTAAAGGGCCTTTATTGGTTTGGAGGGAGCACTTTACGAGAGGCTTTTGACTCGTTAATGGGCTGGCCTTCCGGGGTCAGTTCATCTTGGTTACTTGACTTTTTGTGATACGAGCCGGGGCCTGTCCCGTGCCGTTTGGACTTCTAAAAAATTCTCCTCCCCCCTGCTGCGGTAGGGGGGGAGACGGTAGATACTATTTTAGGTTAGCTTGCTAGCTTAGATAGTTATTTTGATACTTTTGATGCATTGTATGCTATTTTTCTGGATATATATATACTTACATTTTATCCCAAAAAAAAAAGAAAGAAGTAGTTGAGAATCAGTTGTAATAGTTGTTGATATAACTTATAAACTAGATGAGTTGTACAGTATAAATACGGGCTGAGAAGCATCAATAAGGTTCAGTTCATTGCCAATTACAATCTATTCTCTTTTCTCCCCAATTACTCGTTTGTCTTCTTAGAAGTATAACCACCATTAACAGTCGAGTCCAGCTCCTGTTACACCAACCGGTTCGATTCCAGGTCAAGGGAAGTTAACTTAACCATATTACCGAGTGTGTCAGGAATGTAGCCTTCTAAGCTATTCCAACCGAGATCAAGGTATGTAAGAGCAGCCATGCTGTCTCCAAATGTTTTAGGAATGGAACCTGTTAAGCTATTATAGGAGAGATCGAGGTATGTAAGGGCAGGCATGGTGTTTCCAAGATTTTCAGGAATGGTGTCAACAATTCCGGTTCCACTAAGATCTAGGTATTGAAGGTAAACCATAGTGTTGTTCCCAATCAATGATGAGATGTTATGGGTTGTCAGCCAGTCAGGGTTATCGCTAAGATCCAAATACTTCAAATGGCGCAACTCAAAGAATGGGAGGCTGGTGCTATACTTCCCACCATCTTTCGCGGACAGGTTCTTATCAAAAAGATCGATTTGGGTGACATGGCCAGTAGCTTGATCACACCTAACCCCCTCCCAGCCGCGGCAGCAATCCTCACCGTGGTTGCCCCAAGAGCGTAGCTCGCCATTCCCGTCAAGAACGCTGTGCTTGAACTTGAGGAGCAATTCTCTGTCCCCATCGATGCATTTTGGTATGGCAGCGGCAGCAGCCCCACTCATCGCCAGCAGGAGCAAGCAGCAACTCGCCCCCACTGCCATAGTGGACGCCCATACCAATAAGAATCTACCCATTCCCATTCTCAACTAGCTCTGCTTTGATCTTCCAATTTTGTGCATTTAACTTGCTAGCAAGTTAGTTAAATGGGGGGGCTTCAATTAGCTTTTCTTGTGTTCCCACGTCCAAGTCAAAATATGTTTCCCACTTCAAGTCAAAATGAGGAAATTGATTAATACGGAGTATGTAAATGACCGACCACTTTTTGGTCCTCAAATCACATGTGTGTGTGCTGTGGGTCTCACATGTGTATGTAGTATGTACTATGTACGCCTGCATATTTTAGTCGTAGAGGCCTGATCCTGTCCAGCCGGAGGGACAGGACCCGCCGTCGCCATTTGGGGTCCTTCCCGGTGGAATTTTTAGCTGAAATATTTTGAGCATGTTCTTCATGAAGTCTAATTTATCCATACCAAATTTCAGCTAAAAATTCAATCGGGAAGACAGTCAAATGATTTTTGGAAGTTAACTGCGCAGTTTATATACATATAAAACGCAGTTATCTTCCAAAAATCATTTGAGTGCCTTCACGGTTGAATTTGTATCTGAAATTTGGTAGGGATAAACTAGACTTGATGAGGAACATGCTCAAAAAATTTCATCAAAAAATTCCACTGGGAAGGGCCTCTGATGGCCTTGGTCGGACGGTCCCTCCCGTCCCTCCGGAGGGACCTGATCTTGTCTCTAGAAGCCTGATCCTGTCCAGCCGGAGGGACAGGACCCGCCGTCCGGCCATCGCCATTTGGGGCCCTTCCCGCTGGAATTTTTTGCTGAATTTTTTTGAGCATGTTCTTCATGAAGTCTAGTTTATCCATACCAAATTTCAGTTACAAATTCATTCGGGAAGGCGGTCAAATGATTTTTGGAAGTTAACTGCGCAGTTTATATACATATAAAACGCAGTTATCTTCCAAAAATCATTTGAGTGCCTTCCCGGTTGAATTTTTAGCTAAAATGTGGTATGGATAAACTAGACTTGATGAGGAACATGCTCAAAAAATTTCATCAAAAAATTCCACTGGGAAGAGCCTTTGATGGCCTTGGCCGGACGGTCCCTCCCGTCCCTCCGGAGGGACCTGATCTTTTCTCTATAGAGGCCTGATCCTGTCCAGCCGGAGGGACAGGACCTGATCTTTTCTCTATATGTATACATATATATGTATATATATACATATATATACACACATACTCTTAACTACAGCCCTAGCTCCAAAGTTCATACATACGGTTAAACTATACATACTACATACTGTCATATTAGGGAAATTGTATTTGATTCAATTCCATTTCATTCTTCATTTACCAGAAGTTAAAAACTCTCGGTAGTGTTACCTGATTGCCCATATTCTGAGATATAATATGCCAATGAAATTTGGTTAGCTAGTATGAACTACCCTTCATGGTGTACGCAATGCATATAGATCTTACTATGTACTGTCTTCTCACACTAGGAGTTTACATATATCAATATGAAAATGAGAAGATATAATTTCAAGTGCACCTTCAGCTTCATTTAAACTGGTAAATGAAAGGGCCTTGGGCGTTGATATTTTTTGTGCTAAAATGGTATGTTTTCATTGGCTAAACTTTCATGGCTTTTATTTTCACTAAATCCTTACATTTTGATTGACTAAATAAGGATCAGTTGGCTTAAAAAGTTCCAAAGAAAAATCATCTTGCTTAAGGTTTAGATTTACATATTCACTTTATGTGTTCGCAGGTCACTTTATGTGGTTTCTTACCAACGATAGAGAACCCGAAATCACGGTGGGCTGACTGCTCTGTGCAGTGTGGTTTGTGTGGTGAGGCGGGTGAGTCTCTGTTGCACCATTTCGTTGGCTGCACAATTTTAAAGCAGGGAGGCACTTTCTTAGAGCTGAACATGTTATGGTGTTAGCAATTTTCCGGAGCAACTGCAGTTGGCGTTCCAGTCTAAGCGGAGGGGTGATCTGGTAAAGCTTATTTGGGGTTGCTTGGCCATTTGGAGCGAGAGAAATCAGAGAGTTTAGAAGGGCAGTTCTGTGATGCCATACAGTTCATGTACAAGGCAGAAATTCTAGTGGTCAGTTGGACTCAATCTCAGTGAACTAGGTGCATTGGGAGGCATTCAGGACTGTCATCTGCTACATTTTGGAGACATCCAGCTGTGGGAAAGATGAAGTTGAACATAGATGCTGATGTTCGGGGTTTGAAGTGTGGCCTTAGTTGGTGTGTACGGGGCGACAGGGGGAGGTTTGTGGCAGGGGGCTGCGCTGCCATGGCCGGGGAACTTTTATTCTTGGGGAGCTGAAATATGATATTGATGGCAGCTGATATTAGAGACTTGGCGAAGAGTTGCTCCTACATCCGAATCATATTGAGGTGGAATATGATGCATCACGGGTTATTTCTCAAATACAAAAAGGATCAAAGTGCTCCTAAATCGGATTGTTAGCGGCTGATATCAGATACTTGGCGAAAGTTTCTCTAGCATTTCTTTCACTCATATTAGGTGATCAGAGAATAATAGAGCTCACGCTTTAGCTACAAATATACAAAAAATGATGAATTTACAAGATGAAATTGCTAATTGATTAGTGGAAAATGGTTAAATTTAATATGTTGTCGTAATATTTTTGAATTTATATTGTTGTAATTTATGAGCTCATTTGCTCAGTATATTATCATTATTGTAATAAATTTAATGTAATTGCAATACCATCCAGAACAGATAAAGTAAACCATGTATGTTCATCTTTAGCGGGTTAGAGCATAGATCCAAATGCTTCAAATAGCGGAGCTCAAAGAATGGAAGGCTGGTGCTATACTTCCCACCATCTTTAGCGGACAGGTTCTTATCATGAAGATGAATGTGGGTGACATGGCCAGTAGCTTGATCACACCAAACCCCCGCCCAGTCGCGGCAGCAATGTTCAGTGTGATTGCCCCAAGAGCGTAGCTCGCCGTTCCCGTCAACAACACTGTACTTGAACTTGAGGAGCACTTCTCTTTCCCCATTGATGCATTTTGGTATGGCGGCGGCAGCAGCAGCCCCACTCATCGCCAACAGCAGCAAGCAGCAACTCACCCCCACTGCCATAGTGGACGCCCATACCAATTGAAGCCCCCCCATTCCCATTCTCAACTACCTCTGCTTTGATCTTCCAATTTTGTGCATTTAACTTGCTAGCAAGTTAGTTAATGGGGGGGGCTTCAATTAGCTTTTCTTGTGTTCCCACGTACAGTCAAAATGAGGAAATTGATTAATCGAAAAAAAAAAAAAAGGGCCTCACACTCTCACATGTCTGTCTGTTTGTACTATGTACGCGTGCATATGGATGATGTATGTACTTCGAGGTGTTACCTCAGTTAACTTTGCCAACTTAACTACGGAGCATTTGGTAAAAAGGTTCGAACAAGATGATGACATGAAGAAGCTTAAAATGAAATGCGATGAGCTTAGAAAGAATGTTAAGTCACAAATAATGAAGACAGATGTTGAAATCATGAATGTGGACTTAACAAGATTTTCACCAAGGACGCAAATATGGTTTATTAGTTGAGGCAACAACAAAGTCATATCTTGAAGTACATTCAAGATGAACTTATTTCGGGCTAAAGCTCCCCAAATTAAAGCTTCTAAGTTCTAACGATGGCCCATGAGGTCATGACTAATTTTTCAATCAATGATAAGATCATTGTTTTATTACTCCGTGTGTAATTATTACTCCCTCCGTCCTGCAATCAACTTCTCAGTTTTGGATATCCAATATCTAATGTTGCATTTAAAAGAAAACGGTATCTTCTAACGCTATCATTTATTTCTTTGTCCCATTTTATAAGATATCTTTACTATTCACTTGGTCAACACAAATCATTTTTAATATCTTACTTTATATATCAAAATTTTATGAAATTTGAATTATTTTTTGTAGGTTTTGTAGTAGTTTTAATGTAGTTTCTGAATATGTAATTTTTTTTCTAAAGTAATTTGAGTGCAGACAGAGATCCGTTTGCTTTATCGTCGGTCAAACATCTTAAACAAAAAATTATCTTATAATTTGGGATTATACGGAGTAATTAAAATCATGGAAAACAGATCATGATTGCCTCTTCACCCTGTTAATTATGAAATCTCCATAAGCAGCCCTTTAATTTAGTCACCCCACATAACTAAATTACATTCAACTTTAAGAAAGTGATTTTTTGGAGTGATTTTAGAGAAGGTACTTATTATTAAAAGTTGAAAGTGTTTTGAAATAGAAGTGATTATGATGAAAAAGTTAAAGTGGAAGTGTTTGATAAAAAAGTGATTGTAGATGTAATATTTTGTTGAAGTACAAAATTACCCTTGTACTTATTCAATTAAATAACAAAATATACTCCATTTATTTCTTTACACCCACCCAGCAGTATTCACATTATATTCAAATTGAAGTTCGGATCCTAAGGCCATCTCCAACAGTTAAAACCATTTTTTACACTAAAATGGTGTAAACATCACATCAAACAGTATTTTATCTCCAACAGTTTACACCATTTTCATCACCAAAAAGGAATATTCTCTTTTTATTCTTTTTACTAACTTTTTATCATTCTTCTATTTAAGTATCTAACTATCATATATTTATACATTAGCCCCTCATTTAATATTTTGACATTTCACACATTATTTCACACATACAAACTAAAATACATCATTTTAGTACCATTTGTATTCTGTTATAATGTTGTTTGGATTTGAAACTTTATTTATAATATTGTGTGATTTAAATTTTATTATATTTTTTCCTATCAAATTAATAATTTTAATTTGTTGTTCTATAAAGATGTTTTTACTTGGATTGTAATTTGTCTCGGGATCAGATCAGACCTGATTAGACCACACTTGGGTAGTTATAAAAATACAAAGAAATCAGACCAGACCACATCATTTCAGATCAGACCAGATCAAATCAGATCAGACCAGAGCGGACAAACCAATTTTAGTCCAAGTAAAACATCCTAATTTGTTGTTTTAAAAATGGGTCAAAACTATAATAATTAAAACTTGAAGGTCACATTTAAAAGGAAAAGAAATTAAAAAAGGTGGATAGTGTTAGATATGGCGTAAAGCCATGTCCTCTCCCCCAAAATGGTGTAATGGTGTGGAGAATGGTGTCATTGTTGGAGCAAATTTTTGGCAAATACACCATTTTGGTGTGTGATTTGGTGGTCTGTTGGAGATGGCCTAAGAAGAAAGTCTTAAGGAATCAGCCGGCCATCTCTCCTGCAATTGGCACCCAGCTCGATATACATACATATATACAGTGGCTTATCCAGGGAGGGGTAGGGGGCAGCTGCCCCCACTCAACCCCCACCCAACCCACATATATATATACGAGCATATATTTAAAAATTCAACTATACATATATTTTTGTGCTGAATATACATAATATATACCACAATTACGAAAAATGTAACTAAATAGCAGTCTAGTTCGGTGGAAAGGGAGCTGTGTGCATTTGACATGCATGCTTGAAATAATATATACTCCGTCCGCCTTATAAATTTCTTCTCGGTTTGACTTGGATTGAATTTTAAGAAAGTGTTAATTAAATGCAAATGTATGATTGTGGTTGGGTAGGTAAACAAATAGCCACACACAAAAATTCAAAATGGAAAATGAAAAAAGAGTTTTTTGGGACATCCGAAAAAGATAAGTGAGAAGAATTTTATGGGACGGAAAGAGTAGTTTAAACTCGCCTCCACTCACCACAATTCCTGGATACGCCACTGCATATATAAGCAATCAACTAGTAAATTAGTTCATACCAATTATACATATTTTTTTAAAGAACTAATATCCAATAGACTTGAAGAACTTGACAATCCGCAAAAGTAAATGTCAAAGGGAGTATGTAAATTATATATAAGCAATTCGTTTTTCTTGGTTCAGTCTGTATGTTCTGTGAGTATCCCTGTAACTACGTGTGCTTGAGTACTAACTGTTTGAATTCAGTGTGGTGATTATCGTAAATCTCGTTGTTCGATTTGTTTGAGGACAAGCAAAAGCTTAAATGTGGGGGAATCTGATAAGTCCGCATTTAGACATGCATTTGATGCGTGTTGGGGTCGGATTTTGATGGTTTTCCTAGCTTTAAGGTGTTACAAATCTCAATTTTAGCTCAAGTTGTGTTTACCAAGCGTTGGTTCGAGTTTTGTGTCATTTGGAGTCAAAATCAGAAATTTAGAGTTCGACACCGGCGCTTGAGGAGCAATCGGGATGATTCGAGATGCATTCGAGAGTGGATTGATAGTTTTTGAGGTCACCAGGAGGTTTACGATGAAGATTTGATGACAAAAGAGCTCTAGGATTGGCTCGGGATCAAAAGAAGATGAATAAAGCTTGAAAACGACAATCAGGATGACCTTCTGTCAGTCGTTCAATCATATCTCTTTGTATAAACATCCAATGAACACGATTCAAGTTCCATATGAAAGCCAACTTCACGGGCTACAAATAATATGAAGACATCATTCTGAGAATCTGAGAGGAAGAAGATGAAAACAGACGATGAAGTCAGATGATCCCTAGCCTGCTGCGATTTCAGAATGAGACCTTCCACCATTTTATTCATATCTCTTGATTGGATGATCCAAATCCAATTCGGCAAGTTGTGGTGGATAGAGGTGTTCATTATCTACAACTTTCATGAAGGAAGTTTTACGCACGCCGTGCATAGGGGAACGCACGACCGTGCGTCTGAGGCGAGAAAGCAAGGAAGATACTGCCAGCAACGCACGGCCGTGCGTGGGGGGACGCACGCCGTGCGTTCCATATTTTTACGCGGCTATGCTCTGGACGCACTGGGGGACGCACGCCGTGCTTTGCTCCTGGAATCCTAATTTCTCTCTAAGCCCCCCCTGTTTTCGAGGGGGGAGCTTAGAGAGAGTGCCTAGCACGAATTTTAGAGGGCTTTTCAGCCTTGTTCATCAATCTTTTGGGATTCTTTGTAAGTTCCACCTTTTTAATTAATGATAATTAATTCTTTTAATTCCAATTCTATTGATTCTTCAATTATGAATTGTGAGTAGTTTTAATTAGGGATTTGGGATTGATGAAGGGGCTAATCATGATGTATGGCTAGATTCTTGTCGGTTTAATTGCATGAATGTCATTTAATTTTTGTTTGAATAATTTAACTGATATCTTTTGTAACGTAGAACGCGCGCTAGAATTACAATTGCTTGTAGAATAAGTTAAGAGAGATCTAATTTATTCTAGGACACCTTCACACACAGGGCCGTAAGCTCGCTCGGCTTGGCAATAATTTAGGATCCTGTCGCATGAGAGATCAGTCTGGTCCCCTAAATTATTGTACTCTACGCCGCGAGAGCGGTAAGAACTTAGTAATGATTAGCTAGACTCAATTAAATCAATTTCATGTAGTTAGGCCTGTTCTGCCAGAAATCTGGTTACCCCGGAATCAATCCATGTTCCCTTCATCGTTAATTAAGAAGAAATCAATCTTTTATTTTAATTGCTCATTCGCATTAGTTTAATTTTTCAATCAATCAATCTCGCACGACGCGTTTATTTTATTTATTTCTTTTTAATCGCTGAATTTAATTAATCTTTGATTCCCTTTTTCCGTCGTTGTGGAGACTATAATCGTATTTACACTACTATATTACAATCTTTTTAAGTGCGAGAAAACTCACATTAGGTACCTGCATTGCGCCTATAAATATGCGCGTTAGTGTACAGGTCTAAAGGTCGATCAATTCTATTCCATAGCCTTACACTGTAAAAACTTCTCGATAATTAGAAAGGAAAGTTTCCAAGTTCTCGATATTGCCTTAGATCATTCTGTGAAATCTTTCTTCTCTGTTTATTGTTGATATCATTCAAATATTTTTTAGATTTTATATATGCAATATTAATATCATATGAAAGATTGTAAAAATTACGAGCACTAGGGACAGTGCTCCGAGCTGAGTGAGGGGGAGTCACTCATTGGTACGCAATTAACTTTTCCACCTTGTAACTTGCATTATTTTTTTTTACAAAAAAATAAATAAATACAAGAAGAGAAATGCTAGTTAGGTTGAAAACTCAAAAATGGACAATCTAAGCAAAAAGGGCTTATAAAAAAATGAGTGATTTGGAAAGGATGGAAAAACAAAAAGAGATGCTAGGATGAAACCAGAAAAGGCTCCTAGACAAAATGAGAGATATAAGAGATATATTTGTTTTTGCAGAACATCATTTAATCTCTTGATGGAAAAGAAGAATAAAAGAGGTGAAGAAAAAATGAGCATTGAAGGCCATGAAACCCAAGAAGTTGTTATTTTTTTTGAGCTAAAAACTCAATGTAAAAAGAAGAAGAAAAAAACATGTTTTATTCTTGGTGGTCTTTTGCTCTTTCTTGTTGACTATTGAACTATTGAGGATTTGGAACTTGTCAACTTTTGACTTTACTCGAGGAGGAGTAAAGAAACTAAGTGTGGGGGAGTTTGATGGTGTGAATTTCCTATTATATATGTTTGTATTTTTAACTAGTTTTTATTAGTTCTAGTTGTGGAAATTACACACTTTTGATGTAATAGTTTATTTTCATTTTTATTTGTAATTTGTTTAGATTAGGATTATTTTGAGCTCAACAGGTCAAAGATAATCCAAGGGATCAAGATTGGACCTTAAAAGATCAAGGAAAGTGCAAGGAGGCAAGAAAAATTTCGATTTGGAAAAAATACTCATATACCCGGTCGGGTATTGCCTATACCCGATCGGGTATTTGAGTGATTCGATTGTCCAAATCAAATCCGGGAACAAATGATCGTGGGAGCGAATTTTCGTGAAGATTTGTCACATACCCGATCGGGTATGCCGACATACCCGATCGGGTATGCCCAGAAAAGTTACTTTCTCGGCAATTTTCTAAGATACCCGATCGGGTATCCTATATACCTGGTCAGGTATCAGACCCTGCAGCTCCCAAAAGCTTATAAATACACCTCTTTCCTTACCAATAAAATCACCAACATCAAATTCTATGCCAATAATAGGGGCCACAACTAGTTTATTTGGCACCAAATGTTTGGTGGCCCGAGGGCAGTCCGTAGAATTATGACCGAACCGAGAGCATTTTTTACAGAAAATGGGTAGGTTTTCATAAACAACTTTTTGAAAAAAACCGGAAGCACCGTTGCCAATCCAAATCTTTTGGGGGAGATCAAGGTGCTGTTCTGTTCGTCTTATTCTTATTACTTATTGCTTATTCTTATTTTATTCAGATCAGATCAGATCAGATCAGAAAAATTCAGATCAGATCAGATCAGATCAGAAAAATTCAGATCAGATCAGATCAGATCAGAAAGATTCAGATCAGATCAGATCAGATCAGAAAGATTCAGATCAGATCAGAAAGATTCAGATCAGATCAGACCAGATCAGAAACATTCAGATCAGATCAGAAACATTCAGATCAGATCAGATCAGAAAAGTTCAAACATGATCATTTTTATTATTATATTAAATATTAATTATTATTATTAATATTGTTATTACTATTATGATTATTATTATATAATTATTATTATTATTATTATTATTATTATTAATAATATGATAAAAAAGATATTAATATTAGTTATAATATTTTAATATAATAATAGTAATATAAATGCAATTGTTAAGAAGACTATTATTATTATTATTACAATATTATAATAATAATAATATGATTAATATTATTATAATATTATATTATAATTATATCTAATTATAATTATAATTACAATTATAATTCTTATAATTATAAGTATAATCAATTGTAATTATTATAATTATATCTATAATTAATTATAAATATAATTGTAATTAATTATAATTATAGTAATTATAATTATAATTACAATCATAATTATAATTATGATTATAATTATAATTATAATATAATATTATAATAATATAATACTAATTATAATAATAATCATATTATTATTAAATTATTGTAATAATAATATTATTATATTATTGTAATAATAATATTAATATAATAATGTCGTTATAATAATATTAATTGTATTTATATTACTATTATTAAATTATAATATTATAATTAATGTTAATATAATTATAATTATTTTTAATTATAATTATAATAATTATAATTATACTTATAATTATATTATAATTATAATTTATGATTATAATTATTATTTGTTATTATAATTATTAATATTAGTATTATTATTATTACTATTGTAATTATTTTACGGAGTAATTATAATAATATTGATAACTATAGTTACAATTATAGAGATAAATATTGTAATTATAATTACAATTATAATTATAATTTTATTTAAATTATATTTATAATTGCAATTATAATAATTATAATTATAATTATAATTATAATCATAGAAATATTCGAATCAGATCAGATCAGAAAGATTCAGATCAGATCAGAAGGATTCAGATCAGATCAGAAACATTCAGATCAGATCAGACCAGATCAGAAACATTCAGATCAGATCAGAAAGATTCAGATCAGATCAGATCAGATCAGAAAGATTCAGATCAGATCAGATCAGATCAGACAGATTCAGATCAGATCAGATCAGATCAGAAAAATTCAGATCAGATCAGATCAGAACTTAAAAAATTCAGATCAGAAACATTCAGATCAGGTGAAGAGAACAGCTTCCAAGTGAGATATCCAATTCAATACACAGCCTGGCTGTAGAAGGTCTGGAGAAGTGGGCAGTAGGGGTATCAATTCTGATCGGGTTTCCAAAGAGCTTAGCAATAGTTTTTTTTTTTTTTTGAAGAAAGCTTAGCAATAGTTTTCAAAGATCTTAAGTCGTGAAGGTGGATTGGGAGTCCGTCGAGGGAGATCCAGATAGTAGCTAGGCGTGAGTCCCGTTCAACGGAGAAGTTGGGCGTCCATCGGGTGACCATCATCTGGTACCCAAAGAAATCCCATCGTTTTTTCTCCCAAATTTTTTGAAAAACGAGGTCTCCCTGGAAATTAATCAGAATAATGTTTGAGTGAAGCAAACCAACCGAATAACTCTGTAAAAACCATCATAAAAAAAAAAAAACTCTGTAAAAACCCTAACCTTTCAAAAGCTTTACGAATCGCAGGGATGGGAGGGCGACCGAAGGGAAAAGTACCAACCACAGCAAATTGGAAAGGGTGAATGATAAGTCCGTATTTAGACACGCATTTGATGCGTGTTGAGATTGGATTTTGATGGTTTTCCAGCTTTAAGGTGTTGCAAGTCTCAATTTTAGCTCAAGTTATGTTTACCGGGCGTTGGTTCGAGTTTTGTGTCATTTAGAGTCAAAATCAGAATTTTAGAGTTCGGCACCGGCGCTTGAGGAGCAATCGGGATGATTCGAGATGCATTCGAGAGTGGATTGAGAGATTTGGAGGTCACCGGAAGGTTTACAGTGAAGATTTGATGACAAAAGAGCTCTAGGATTGGCTACAAGGTCAAAAGAAGATGAATGAAGCTGGAAAACAACGATCAGGATGACCTTCTGTCAATCGTTCAAGCATAACTCTTTGTACAAACAACCTATGGACACGATTCAAGTTCCATATGAAAGATAACTGCAAGGGCTACAAATGATTTGAAGACATCTTTGCGAGAATATGAGAGGAAGAAGGTGAAAACAGACGTTGAAGTCAGATGATCTCTGTTGCGATTTCAGAAAGACACCTTCCACCATTTTGATCATATCTCTTGATTGGATGATTCAAATCACATTCGGAAAATTGGGGTGGATAGAGGACTTCATTATCTACAACTTTCATGAAGAAAGCATTGCCAAATTCGGAAGTTAAGTAGGCACGATCGTACCCTCAGAGTCAGGCATGGTCGTGCCTGAAGAGAAAAGCACCGCGAAGTTACTGCCAGCCAAGCACGATCGTGCCTGGAGGGAGGCACGATCGTGCCTGCCCAAAATGCGCGTTTTTGCTCCGGAGGCACGATCGAAGGCACGATCGTGCCTGGTGTGAAAGACATTAGAATATACTTTAGAATATTCTTCTATCCTTAGAATATACTTTAGAATATTTTAGGAATATACTCTAGGATATTATTATTGTATAGAATCTTATAGGAATATTCTATCTTTGTAATGTATATTTATAGGGACTTAACCCTCCAATGAAATATATAGAAAATCCTTCTCTCCATCTTTAATATCATTCTAGTTTATATTTCAACATGGAATCAGAGACTTCCATTTTAGTTTAGTCTTTTTTCCAGATTTCAGTTAATTTTCAGATTTTCAGATTGGATTCTTCCTTGAGTTCAGTCTTCAGAACCTTCGACACCAATCTGTCTCTAAATTCTTTCTTCAGGATTTCAGCTTTCCAATTCTTGAGGAACTTGAGTTCAGTTTTTCATATTCTTCAGAACCTCTAAATTTCCCAGAAAGTATCAGTCTGCCCCCAGACCTCACAAATTTCAGACCACACATTTCATCACCACCGTACCCAGGTGGTGCGGCTACCTCCGACGACACAGAAACAAAAGTCCGACACCCATACTCTAAGCGAGTGAGCCGCACGCGCCGCCACAGCACGGCGAACTTAACTCACGTGCCGGCGCGTCTCGTCTGTTCTCCGGCCAGATTTCTGATCGAAAACCACCCATCAGCTCGCCTGTGTATGGCCTCTCTTTTGTGGTCGCTCGTTTCGTCCTGGTAAGCATTAGTTCCTGCCTCGATAGCCTTGTTGCGTAAAAGTCAACGCAAACTCGCGAGGAACACACCCGGTTGCTTTGTCACAATCTTATAGCAGATTGTTAAGGGAGGAGAATATTTATTTTCTTTGCCTAAACCGGAGGAATAGTTCGACGCGGTAACCTCGGGTGAATATCAGTCAGTTCAACTCAAAATCTGGTGAGACCCGTTGTTATTCTTGCTATGATTTTTTACTGATTACCGTGTGCTTGGAGAATACAGAAGTCCAAGAAGTAAATTGTGGTCACCTTCCTTTCCTTTATTCTGCATCATTTTTTCCAAAATTTGAGCCCACACGTAAAAAGGCTGCTGTAAGTTTCCAATGCAATCTCAGATTTGATTTTATTTAAAAAAAAAAAGAAAAAAAAAATACAAAAAAAAAAATACAAAAAAAGAAAAAGAAAAAGAAAAAAATGTTTCGTACAGGTCAATTTGACAGAGGAGTAATATGCAATTACTGCAAGAAATCCGGACACTTGCTCAAAGATTGTAGAAAGTTGGCATTCAAAAATCAAGGAAATTTGATTGCTCATGTTGCTTCCGCTACCACCTCATCTGATGGATCAGTTGCTATTTCTTCGGATGAATATGCCAAATTTATTTGCTACCAAGAATCTCTAAAGCATTCATCTGTCCCTATCTCGGTAGCCGCGAATTCAGGTATTTCAAACACATGTCTTGTTTCGTCATCCTCGAAATGGGTCATTGACTCAGGTGCCACAGATCATATGACCGGTAATCCTAGTCTATTCTCGTCATTCCATTCATATTTACCTACTTCTAGTGTCACTTTAGCTGATGGATCTACCTCACCCGTTCTTGGATCTGGTACTGTTGTTCCAACTTCTACATTACCATTATCGCCTGTTTTGAGTCTTCCTAATTTTGCATTTAATCTGCTTTCCATTATTAAAATCACGCGTACTCTTAATTGTTCTGTAACATTTTTTCCTGGATATTGTGTGTTTCAGGATCTGTTAACGAAGCAGACTATTGGTAAAGGACATGAGTCAGCTGGTCTTTATATTTTGGATACATCAATCACAAAAGGTATCTCTTGTCTTGGGGTTGGGACTTTGTTAGATGCTCATTACCGATTAGGACATCCATCTCTCCCATTAATGAAGCAAATAAATCCCCAATTTAATAAGATGACCTCTTTACAATGTGAGTCATGTCAATTTGCGAAACACCATCGTACTAGCTTGAGCCCTCGAGTTAATAAACGAGCAAATGCTCCATTTGACCTTGTTCACTCTGATGTTTGGGGTGCTTGCCCGGTTGTGTCTAAAGCAGGTTTTAAATATTTTGTTACCTTTGTTGATGACTATTCTCGTATGACATGGTTGTATTTCATGAAACGTCGATCTGAGTTGTTCACTCATTTTTCTTCCTTTTATGCTGAATTAAAACTCAGTTTAACGTTCCTGTTCGGGTGTTAAGAGGAGACAATGCCCAAGAATATCTATCTGCTACATTTAAGTCATTTATGCTTCAACATGGCATTATTCATCAAACTTCATGCGTTGACACACCTCCTCAAAATGGAGTTGCAGAACGAAAGAACCGACATCTGTTAGAAACTGCAAGGGCTCTTCTATTCCAAATGAATGTGCCTAAACAGTTTTGGGCAGATGCCGTGTCTACTGCATGTTTTTTGATAAATCGAATGCCATCTTCTGTTCTGAATGGTAAAGCTCCTTATCATTGTCTATTTCCAAACAAAGAGCTTTTTCCTATCCCACCTAAAATATTTGGTTGCACTTGTTTTGTTAGAGATGTTAATCCTCATCTTACAAAGTTAGATCCCAAATCATTAAAATGTATTTTCTTGGGTTATTCTCGAGTCCAAAAGGGGTATAGATGTTTTTGTCCAAGTACTGGTCGGTATCTTGTTTCTATTGATGCATCATTTCATGAAAATACACCTTTTTCATCATCTAAGGCAGATATTCATGAGAGTAATGATGATATACTCATTTACACGATGACTATTCCCGAGTCCACACTTTCGACAAATATTCCACAAGTTACTGTTCCTGACCCTAGGCCTCCCGTACATTTGGTATACACCGGTCGACACAAAGCACCTGATCACCCTCCACCGGCGATACCTGTGATTACTTATCCTGATACTAGTTCGACTCCGATCTCATGTCCTGAACCAGTACCTGCATCCTCAGATCTTGTCTCCACATCAGATCTTGACCTCCCAATCGCACTACGTAAAGGTACACGGTCTTGTACTCATCCTATTTCTTCATTTGTGTCATACAATCAGTTATCTCCTGCTTCATGTTCTTTTATTGCTTCCAATGATTCTATTTCTGTTCCCAAATCTGTCAAAGAAGCTTTGTCTCATCCTGAATGGCGTCATGCCATGGTAGAGGAAATGAATGCTTTAGATCTTAATGGTACTTGGGATTTGGTTGACTTGCCTACAGGGAAGAAATCTATTGGATGTAAGTGGGTCTTCGCTGTAAAGGTTAACCCTGACGGATCCGTTGCTCGGTTGAAAGCCCGATTAGTGGCAAAGGGTTATGCTCAAACCTATGGTGTCGATTATTCTCACACATTTTCTCCTGTTGCTAAATTAACATCTGTCAGGTTACTTATCTCTCTCGCTGCAACTAATGGTTGGCACTTACATCAGTTGGACATTAAAAATGCATTCTTGCACGGTGATCTTCAGGTGGAAGTTTATATTGAGCAACCTCCGGGATTTGTTGCTCAGGGGGAGTATGGAAAAGTGTGTCGACTTCGCAAGTCTCTTTATGGTTTGAAACAGAGTCCCCGTGCATGGTTCGGAAAATTCAGTCAATCAATTGAACGATTTGGAATGATAAAAGGCAAATCAGATCACTCTGTATTTTACAGACAAACGAAAGCAGGTATCACATTGCTTGTGGTGTATGTCGATGATATTGTGATTACAGGGAGTGATAATGCAGGTATTTTGGCCCTTAAGAATTTTCTTCATAGTCAATTCCAGACAAAAGATTTGGGCTCATTAAAATACTTCTTGGGGATTGAGGTTACAAGGAGTAAGAAAGGCATATTTCTATCTCAGCGCAAATATGTGCTTGACTTGCTAACTGAAACAGGGAAATTGGGGGCAAAGCCGAGCAATACTCCCATGATTCCTAATGTGCAGCTCACTCATGAAGGTGTGCCATTCGAAGATCCAGAAAGATACAGAAGGTTGGTTGGAAAGCTTAACTATCTCGCAGTTACCCGTCCAGATATTGCCTACTCAGTCAGTGTAGTAAGTCAATATATGTCATCTCCGACAGTTGATCATTGGAATGCAGTAGAGCATATATTATGTTACTTGAAGGGGACACCAGGACGAGGTATTGTTTATCAAAATCATGATCACATGAGAATAGAATGCTTTGCAGATGCTGATTGGGCTGGATCTAAAGATGATAGGAGATCCACATCTGGCTATTGCGTCTTTGTTGGTGGTAATCTCGTCTCTTGGAAAAGTAAGAAGCAAAATGTGGTTTCTCGTTCGAGTGCTGAATCAGAATATCGGGCTATGGCACAATCGGCATGTGAGATAATCTGGATAAACCATTTGCTGAGTGAAATCGGATTGAAGACACCAATGCCTGCTAAACTCTGGTGTGATAACCAAGCTGCTATACACATTGCCAACAACCCAGTGTTTCATGAGAGAACAAAACATATTGAGGTCGATTGTCACTTTGTTCGAGAAAAGATACAACAAGGATTGATCTCTACAGGATATGTGAAGACTGGAGAGCAACTTGGAGATTTGTTCACTAAAGCATTAAATGGAATTCGTGTTGGTTATTTATGTAACAAGTTGGGCATGATAAATATCTATGCTCCAACTTGAGGGGGAGTGTGAAAGACATTAGAATATACTTTAGAATATACTTTAGAATATTCTTCTATCATTAGAATATACTTTAGAATATTTTAGGAATATACTCTAGGATATTATTATTGTATAGAATCTTATAGGAATATTCTATCTTTGTAATGTATATTTATAGGGACTTAACCCTCCAATGAAATATACAGAAAATCCTTCTCTCCATCTTTAATATCATTCTAGTTTATATTTCAACACCTGGCATCGTGTCTGCCTCCGGAAATCCCAATTCAGCTCAAATTTGACCCGATTTTCTATTTAAACAACCTGTAAACCCCCGTTTGGGGGGGGGGGGGGCTTAGAGAGAGTGCCTAGCACGAATTTTAGAGGGCTTTTCAGTCTTGTTCATCAATCTTTTGGGATTGTTTGTAAGTTCCACCTTTTTAATTAATGACAATTAATTCTTTTTATTCCAATTCTATTGATTCTTCAATTATGAATTGTGAGTAGTTTTAATTAGGGATTTGGGATTGATGAAGGGGTTGATCATGATGTATGGCTAGATTCTTGATGGGTTAATTGGATGAATGTCGTTTAGTTTGTGTTTGAATAATTTAACTGATATCTCTTGTAACCTGGAACGGCCGCTAGAATTACAATTGCTTGTAGAATAAGTTAAGACAGATCTAATTTATTCTAGGACACATTCACACACACTTAATCGTTCACTAAGAGATTAGTAGCGATTAAGGGGCCGTAAGCTCGTTCGTCTTGGAAATAATTTAGGATCCTGTCGCATGAGAGATCAGCCTAATCCCCTAAATTATTGTACTCTACGCCGCGAGAGCGGTAAGAACTTAGTAATGATTAGCTAGGCTCAATTAAATTAATTTCATGTAATTAAGCCTGATCTGCCAGAAATCTGATTACCCCGGAATCAATCCCTGTTCCCTTCGTCATTAATTAGAAAGAACCCCCTAGTTTAATCGTTTTATTCGCATTTTTATTTTCCAGCAACCAATCTCGCACGACGCATTTATTTTATTTATTTTTATCGCTGAATTTAGTTAATTCTTGATCCCCTTTTGTCCGTCCCTGTGGAGACGATACTCGTACTTACACCACTATATTACAATCTATTTTAAGTGCGAGAAAACTCACATCAGTGAGAAAGCACTTGTAAGTCATCCTCAGAGAAGGAAGCCGACGGGAAGCCCCTGAAGCTACCAGTCGAACCCAGGTCAACCGCTTCGGAAAAGGAGCAAGGCTGAGAGTGCAATCGATGGCCGGGGATAGCATCCCTTACCACCATTGCGTAAGAATTCTTTGGCTGCGAAGTCCCCTTGCCGATACGGCGATACCATCCGGCGGCCATCGCTGCCGCGCTGATGCTACCTTCTATGAATCACTATTTTCTTTATATTTTCCTCTACAAATGAGGAGCTAAACTCTTCCATCTTGGTTTTGCTACTTTGAAGCTTAATGGATTGTAAGTTGTGAATTATTTTCTTTAATCTTCTTCCTTGAATATTAATTTTTCCCTTAATACTATCTCTATATTAATGTTGGGGAGTGTTACTAAGATGACAATTAGTTAACATCTCGACATTAGTTAGAGTAGTATTTATTTTCTTCCTCTATATTAATGTTGGAGAGTGTTACTAAAATGACAATTAGTTAACATCTTGACATTAGTTATAGTAGGATTTATATCTTCTTTAATATTCTTCCTTGAATATTAATTAATTCTTATTCATATTTCATTTTAATATTTTGAGCATTACTTAAAGGATCAACTAGTTTTGTCTCATATATTAATTATTACTAGAATCGATCGATGAATACGCTTGTTAATCGTTCGATCTTTTCACGGTAGTAAACTTGGATTATTAATGCATGCGTCTCATGGTTAATAATCTAAGGGGAATTAATTATATTGATTAAACCAATAAACCGCTTGTGTTGCGGTTATCAATTTCAATCGTTTTCATCTTGAATTTATTGCTACTATCGAGTATATATACAGTGCGTGTTCTATATTAATTTGGTAGTAAGTTTTATTAATGAACGCGTCTCGTGATTAATAACTACCCTCGATGAATTGAATATACTCCTTGATTGAGTATTCGAGAGGAAGATAGTTAAAGATATAACTGGGATTGATGAACATTTCATTAAGTGGATAAAAGCAAAACCAAGTCTTAATCTCAATTAATTAAACTCATATAAGTCATTCATCTTAGTGTAGAATTAATTAAAACAAATCAAACCTAACCCCCCTTTTGTTACTAGTTAATTAAAAAGAAAAATATTTCTTTCCCTGCGGATACGAACCTTACTTCATTATACTACGTATAATTGTTGTATTGAATATTATTTTGAGTGCACACCACGACAAAGTGCACGTCATCTTATATACTAAAAGATTTCAATCACCTCAAATTTTATAGATTGGGTGGTATCTACACACATATATGCATGCCTAAACATAATGAGTTGTTTTTTTAGGTGAAACAGTTAATTGGTAGGAACTAGGAAAGACCAAATATTACACTTTCCTTACTCAAAGGGTTTTATTAGTCAAAGGATTTAACAAGATAGTTTGAGGAAACTGATTAGTTGTTTTAATTGGAATCCTAACAAACTATAAATTAATCTACAGGTATTCAAATAATTGAAACAACTAACTTGGAAGACATCAAAGTAGTAGACATTGCCATCTTCCACAGGACCTCGCAGGCAAGAGTACAAGACTTATCAAAGCATGCTGCATGCATGGTCATATATAGTACTACCTCCGTCCCCCTAAGTTTGGGACAAAAGGGTGGTGTGGTTTTTAAGAAAAAATAGAATTGTGTGGTTGGTATTGAATTGATAAAGTGTGAATAAAGTAATAATGAATTCTAGCCACTCAAACATTACCTAATATAGTATGAGACAAACTTAATGGGACGAACGAAAAAGGTAAAACTGGACAAACATAGGAGGACGGAGGGAGTATAACTCTATAAGTAGTTTATTATATGCAAGATCAACTGGACAACAAAAACATTGGTGACGGGTTTTCCTTTACAATGAGTACAACCTAACCTCACAAACCAAAGGCAAATTTTTTCTTGTTTACAATGCAAGAGCTACCTGTCTTCTGCTGAGTATTGATAAATGATAATAAGCTTATTGATGTTAGGAAGGAAGCTTTTACTGTAAGTGATTTTGTCAAATGGATGAAGATTGCAATCATTTTAATGATTGCAGAATCATTAAAATGATTATTCTTCTATCTAAGCTTAAAAGCTTTACAAATTAGTACAAAGTACTTTGAGTATTCAAGGAGTATATTAATTCTAATACTTTTAGTCTAACAGATCACAAATAGACTAAACAGAAAAACGTGTCATGGAGATGATGGAAACAAAAAACAAAACTTTATTGCCTATATAAACGAGATCCTCCTCATCAATCAAATGTGCTGCATCTTAATACTCCTCTCATCCTCTGAGTGATTTATTTTTCCCCTGAAATTCCAAACTCTTTCACATCACCCTGCAAATATTTAAAGCCCTAAACCTGAAAAAAATGAAGAAAATGGAAAACAATATCACATATAAGAACCTAAGCTAGAGAACACCAGGAAAAAAATAACAAAGAAAGGATGGTCCATTTAAAATAATTGTCCAGGATTCTATCATAGTATCATGTACCCAAAATTTCAATCCCTTAAACGTCTACTACTATTAAATACTAACAGCAAAACCACCTCGTATAATATGAAACAAAAACATTTTCAAAATAAATAAGAAAATGAAATCAAAAGAACTACACTTCAATCACTAAGAAGTAAGAACTACTAATAAGCTTTGCATTCTTTGGGGTTTCAGGATTAAGAGGCTAAGGCTTCTTAGTAATTCCAAAAACATTAACAACCGTCTCAACTCTCAAGTATAGCACGATAAATAAATAGAGTGAAGCAAAAATGTTTTAATCAAAATCTGTTTTAATGGAAGTCACTCCACAAATGATAAAACTCTCTCTCGTAAAAGTGTGACTTCAATATTAAAGCCAAAACAATCACATTGCGTTAAAAAAGAACCTGCAGCAGGAATTTTGGAAAGTAAACCATTAATATTGAAACACATGAAGACGACCCTTATCAGCTTTCGAAGGAAAAAATGAAAAAGTAAAAGAAGTTGCATGTACCAAGTGATCTAAGGAACTTTGCCTTGTGCGTTGCAGCCACGACATAAGTCCAATTAGCAATATCGCCGAGGATATTGAAAAATGCAAACCTGCAGGACCTATTAAATAGCATTGTCCCAAGAACTACCCAAAACCCAACAACATATCCAACCCCCAGGCTTGCGTAAAACTCACTCCCAAAAAGCCTATCTTCTTCTTCTTCTTCTTCACTAGATCCGGGAGGGGAAGGATATGTTGACTCTTCTCCTGCACAGCTATTGGGGAGTGGATCTCCACATAGGGCGGGATTCCCCATGTATACACTTGCATTGAAGCTCTGAAGTTGTGTGCCTTTGGGAATTCTTCCAGATAAGTTATTGTTGGACACATTGAGAACCCCTATGCCGTAAATCTGGGCAAGGCTTTGAGGAATGCTACCAGACAAATGGTTACTAGACAAATCAAGAGTATTTAATCGTGCCAAGTTACCAATCCTCGGAGGAATCTGTCCCCTTAGATTGTTTCGTGATAAGTTCAACGAGACCAACTCAACAAGAGACGTGATCTCAGTTGGAATTTCACCACTCAACATGTTGGATGATACATCAATGCTTCGTAGATTTCCTAATGCACTTCGAAATTCATAGTCTGTACCTTTCCAAGTAACATCTATCCTTTCGTCTTCTACAGTTAAATCAATCATTGTAGTATTTGGATTGAGATTGTGATATAAAAAATAAGAAATGGTGATCATGTACTTGTCTAATGCTCTTAGAGTAATCATTTGTGTGAGATTAGAAAGACAATTGGGAAGAGTTCCCGAGATCTGGTTCATGGACAGGTCCAAAAGCTGAAGAGACTGGAGACAACACATACTTGTGGGTATACTTGCATTGAAGTTGTTGGATCTTAGCACAAGTATCGATAGTCGTGTTAGACTTTCACCCACCCAATCTGGTATTGGTCCAAAGAAGTCGTTGTGTTCCAGATCTAAAGTTACCAAGCTGGAGCAATTTTTCATGGATGAAGGTAGAGGGCCTGTAAATTTGTTATGTTCAAGATGTAATGCCTCTAGGGAAGCCAATGATCCGATGGATGTAGGAAGAGTCCCTGATAGATTGCGATTCTTCCCCAAGTTGAGAAATTGCAGACTAGAGAAACTTGACCAGCAATCCGGAAGTGCTCCAAAAAGTTGATTGAATGACATATCCAAAAGCTTCACACCAACATGTGTCTTAATGTCACATAGGAAGTTGAGGTCAGTGAAGTTATTCCGAGAAAGGCGTAGTGCTGTCACATTGAAGAAAGAAGGTGGAATGACACCTTGTAATTGATTCGAACGCATATCTATTTCAACACCTTGGATTGATGCTTGAGCACCATTTCCAATTATTCCCTCGATTCCATTATACGAAATATTAATTAGCTTAAAGTGAGTAGTTGTATTCCAAAACCAGGAGGGAATTGAATCGGATATGGCATTATTGGAAATGTCAAGGACCGTAAAGTTGACCTGAGTTCTAAGCCATTTGGGGAACTTAGGGCCCAAGTTGCAAAATCTGAGGGATATCGTATCCAATTGGAAAGGAGGACGCCAAGCGGACGAGACATTGAAAGTGAAATTGTTTGAAGATAAGTCCAGGTTGCGTAGCTTGGAGAGAGTCACAAATTGATGTTCGGAAATGACCCCACCTAGGAGGTTCCTGGACAAATCTAATGTGGCCAAAGAGGGGAACATGCTAAGATCAGGAAATAGGCCCGTGAATCGGTTCCTTTGTAGATCTAACTCCCGCAGAGGGTGATTTGGGCATAATGTGGATATGAATAGAGTTCCATTATGGCGGTTGAAAAACAAAGTCAAGATTTGCAGAGTGCATATGTTCCAAATGGATTTTGGGATTTCTCCTTCTAGTTTATCATTACCCCAAAGGTGAAGCTCTTCAAGGACAGGCATATTCCCCAGGGCTTCAGGAATGTGACCTTCCAACCTATTCCTTTGAAGGTTAAGGTAAGTCAACTTAACCATATTACCGAGTGTGTCAGGAATGAAGCCGTCAAATAAATTATCTCCAAGATGGAGGTGTGTGAGGGCATGCATGTTGTTTCCAAAATATTCAGGAATGGAACCTTGGAACTTGTTATAGCTGAGATCAAGATATGTAAGGGCAGGCATCATGCGGTTTCCAAAAGATTCAGGAATGGAACCTTGTAAATTATTAATGCTGAGATCAAGATAAGTAAGGGCAGGCATCATGCCGTTCCCAAAATATTCAGGAATGGTGCCAACAATCCCGGTGAGAGTAAGATTGAGATACTGAAGGGAAACCATAGTGTTGTTCCCAATCAGAGATGAGATGCTCTGGTTTTCCAACAAGTCGCGGTTATAACCAAGATCCAAGTACTTCAAATAGCGGAGCTCAAAGAATGGAAGGGTGGTGCTATACTTCCCACCATCTTTCGCTGTCAGGTTCTTATCATGAAGATGAACGTGGGTGACATGGCCAGTAGCGGCATCACACCTAACCCCCTCCCAGTCGCGGCAGCAATCTTCACTGTGGTTGCCCCAAGAGCGTAGCTCGCCGTTCCCGTCAACAACGCTGTGCTTGAACTTGAGGAGCACTTCCCTCTCTCCATCAATGCATTTTGGTAGGGCGGCAGCCCCACTCATCGCCAGCAGGAGAAAGCAGCAACTCACCCCCACTGCCATAGTGGACGACCATAACAATAGTAATAAGAATCTACCCATTCCCAATATTCTCAATTGCCTCTGCTTTGATCTTACAATTTTGTTGATTAAATTTGCTAGTACGTTAGTGAAATGGGGCACTTAAATTAGCTTTTCTTGTGTTCCCACGTCCAAGTCAAAAATCAAAATGTGTTTCCCACTCCAAGTCAAAATGAGGAAATTGATTCATGTGTATTTGACCGACCACTTTTAGGTCTTCAAATCACATGTGTGTAATATGTGTGTGCTGTAGGTTTCACATGTGTATGTACTATGTACGCGTGCATACCTATAGTACGGAGTATTACGTACTTTCGTGTTCTTCATTTGCATTTGAAAACATGCTCCATACCGCATCGATGTCCATATCTCTTCGTTCTTAGTATTCAAAACCTAACGCTTCAGAACGGATTCAGATCCTCTGCCGTGCGGCAGAGGTGCCTTGCGGCATCCGACGGAAGGAAGAGGAAGCAGGCGCCTCGAGATGCGGAGCTCCAAGATCTTCGGCCGTTGGTTTGTTCATCGGACGGCCTAAGAAAGCCGGGCACCCTACCTTGCGGCAAAGCAAGGCAGAGGTTCCGGATCCCTTCAGAACACAGACCTCCTCCTCTCCTCCTCTGTTTTACAAATTGCTCTTCTTTATCTTACTACAACAACGGCGATTTACTTGTCATCATTACTGTCGAGTTGCAGATCATTCTTGATTTTCATAGGAGGAGCTAGGGGTGAGCCAAACGTAGGCCATGGCCCACCCCAAATTTTAAAAAGGTAAAATCACTATTAGCCTCCTGAGCTTATGTCATAATTATTAATACAACCTTGCATTTTCAAAACTCAATTAGTTACCCCCTGAAATTTTATCATTCTCACAGTTTGCCCCCTCACATTAATTATTGTTAAATTAAATTTAATATAACTCTTAAATTTAATGAAATTTATCTATAAAATTAAATTTTTAAGTAAAATACAGTTTATTATCATACTTATAAGTCATTATTGTTTATTGTTATTTTTCTACTTAGCTACTCGATCATGGAATAAATATTACTGAGTGAATTAATATAACAAATATTAACATGAGTAGGCATATAGTGAGAATGATCAAAGCTGAGGGGGTAACTAATTGGTTTTTAAAAATGCAAGGTTGCATTAATAATTATGACATAACCTCAGGGGGTTGATAGTAATTTTCCCTTTTAAAAATGACTTAATATTTAAGGTAAAAAAATCTGTGTAATTTTTTTCCTGAAAATATTCTTTGTACTGGCTCAGTCTGACCCAGTGCCCTGTCTCCGCCCCTGTAATGATTTTCGTGCTTACATATGGTTGTGTAGCTTTGCAAAAGTTATGTCTATTGCGAACACATTCCAGTTTTTGAGAGAGTCGTGGCTACTTTTTGTTTTTGAAATTATTCGTTCCGGCCATTCTATTTTACTGGGTATTTTAAAATTTTGGACTTTTGAAGCATGGGCCTCCGTTAAACCACTTCAAAACATTAAAATTGTGCTGGCTGTGCAGTCTTCACCATACAGTCAGATGTATGGTATACAGTTTCAGGATTAGCTGATTGCTTGATTAGTTGTTTTAGTTGGAAACCCAACCAACTATAAATTTATCTACAAATATTCAAATTGAAATAACTAAAACATGTAACTTTTTTGACTTATCAGACTTATCATCCAACTTTTTTTACCAAACACGTAACTTTTGATTTCACATGTTGAATTGTGTAATAATAAGAAAAATAAAGTTGAAGTTACTTAAAAAAAAGTTGCAGTTATTTTCAACGTTACACTAGAGTCTAGAGTTATAACTCATGCATGTAAAATTAGTTTAGAACTAAATCTCATGTTAGATTATAGGAAGTACTCGGAAATTCAAACAATCATAAAACATTCTATACAATTATACATTCAATGTTACATTAAATTAAAATTTCAAAATTAATTTATAGAATTATGGAAAGTTTTTTTGTGTTCGATTAAAATTCAACAAAACTTTATACAATATTTAGACCAGATCATAGTTAAACAGATCCAACCAGATCAAATTATAGGAAGTACTAGGAAATTCAAACAATCATAAAACATTCTATACAATTATACATTCAATGTTACATTAAATTAAAATTTCAAAATTAATTTATAGAATTATGGAAAGTTTTTTTGTGTTCGATTAAAATTCAACAAAACTTTATACAATATTTAGACCAGATCATAGTTAAACAGATCCAACCAGATCAAAACAAATCATAAATTTTTAATTCAATTAAAAACATTTTTAAAGGCATCATCCATAAAATTTAGAACTCATCAATATTACATTAGAATCAACAAATCTCCTAAAACATTTTACAGATTCTAATATCCCAAAATAACATAAATAAAAGTAATAAGGATGTTTTTAATTAGCTTGAATTTTTTCGATCTCGGTTGATCTTTTTAAGTCCGATCTGGTCTCTTCTAATTTGATTTGATTTTTTAAAGTCTAGTATGGTCTAGAAATGAAACCACTCAAACTAAAAACATCTTAACATGCCTAAAACTCAATCCCTTATATAGAAAAGTTTTCTAAATATTATATACTGTATTTATGTAAATTTTTAAAGTATTTATAGACCAACCATCACAGCAGTTCAGACCAGCTCATAATTACAGACTAGATCAAACCAGATCAAATTATAAAATTTTAATCCGACTAAACATATTTTTAAAAAGGATCCCTCCCTAAAACTTAGAGCTCAATGCTGGATTAGACTCAACAAATCTCCTAAAACATTCTACATATTCTAATGTCCTAAAATAACACTAATAAAAGTAATAACGATGTTTTCAATTGGATTTAAATTTTCTGGTCTCAACTGATGTGTTTAAGAATTGTCTGATCTGTTCAGATCTGATTTAGTTTAAGTCTGGTCTGGTCTGAGAGTAAAACCACTCAAAGTAACACATCTTAACATGCCCAAAACTCAACCCCTTATATAAAAAAGATATTTAAATAATATATAGAGTATCTATGTAAGGTTTTCTAAATCTCCATAGACCAGTTGTAAAAAACAAATAATAGACCAACCATCTAAAACACTATACCAGTTCAAATCAGATCATAGTTAAACAGACCAGACCCGATCAAATCAAATCATAAGATTTTAATCCAATTAAAAACATTTTTAGAGGAGCCTTCCAAAAATTTAGAACTCAATAGAAGATTAGAATCAACAAATCTTCTAAAACATTCTTCAGATTCTAATGTCCTAAAATAACTCTAATAAAAGTAACACAAATGTTTTTAGTCAAAACTTTTTAGTACATGTACTTAAATGTACTAAAAAACGTTTTAACGCAAGTATCATAAAATACTTTTTAGTACATGTACTTAATGGTAGATTTTAAACATCAAAATGATCTATTTGACTTTGTTCCCAAGCAGAACTAGGTATGAAAATGACCAATGGTACTTCACATTTTTTATAATGTGAAGTATCACATTACAATGCACATGATTGATCTATGTCAATATTTCATCATATATTTATATTTTATCAACCTAATTAAACTATTCTAAATTGTCAATGTGGACAAGGTGTGACACCTTCAAAGTACCATGTATAGTTAATTTACCCATCATATAATTTTGTTGGGTTAATGGCCAACTGTGGGAAGAGCATGACTCATCCATGAGGCCACTTGGGGAAGAGCATGACTCATCCATGAGGCCACTTGGGTTAATGGCCCAAGTAGAAGTTCGGCCCATTTACCCTTTCATCCTGACGTACGTCCAGACAGGACGCTGGGCAGGCTAAGCTGACAGGCAACTTGGAACGGACGAAGGTCTTTACCAAAGCCTTGGCTCAGCAGCCCATTCCGACGAACGTCTACTCGGTTGACAGGAATCAGGCCCACGGGCCACGAAAATGACGACGAACGTCGTCAGAGCAAGCCCATAACCTTTGGAGGCAATCCAATCCACATGGCAAAATCCCCCAAGGGCCAGGGGACGAACGGCCCAATACCCCTTGCAATATCACCAGGAGCAACTCACCTCCCCAGCTGGACGAACGTCCCCACTAATTAGGCGGGAAATCCAGATTCTGACGGGAAGTGCATTTAATGCTGAAGATTTGGTGGTTGGGACACCACCCATCCACAATCCTCCACGTCAGCGCAGCCAACTGCCCATTGGTAGTATAAATAGCAGCATTTATTTCATTGTAAAGGGTTAGCAACTTTCTATTCGTAGCACTCTAGCTATAGCATTCTTACTCGCAGCTCTTCTACTGCCTTGTAAGACGAACGGCCGACGAGCCTTGGCAAAAAGTATTGTATTAGGGAGTTATTGCTGATTAATAATACCTAATCTCTTACTTACTATTCAATGTTCCCTTGATCCATCGCACTTGTTAGTTGGGCTAGTTCACTCACATACTCAATCCACTCGAAACTCCTGGGCTTACGTGTTGGACCCGAGGGTTGAAGGAATAAACCTCAACAAATTCACATTTTTATATTGTGATTATTTTCTGTTTTCTCGATGAGGTATTATAATTTGTGCTTTTGTTGTGGTTGCAAAATTGACATGCTCATGTTCACATAATTTGAGTCTCTCATTATTAGCTATCATTTGGCATGTGTTCTCTTTGGAAACATATAATAATAGCATACATTTATTGTCGTCAATGTATTGATGCTAATCTACTACGAGCAGTACGTGATATGTTATTTGTTTTTCTCAATGTGTGGCTTGACATTTTTAATGAGCATTTAACCAATAGGTATGTTCTTAAAATAAATATTGTCAAATTAAAGTCTAAAATATGCAATCTTCTTTCTGATAGAGTATATGCGCTTGGACCCCATGGCTCACATACTCATAAAGTCAACAATACCAGAGGAACATCCACGTGGCTCCCATCCGCCTAGTGGGTTCCGCAACGGCCAGAACCTGACCAGCCAAGAACACTGCCTGGAGGACAGATGGGCCTCGTCGGCCATGGACCGCATCGGCCAGAGGACCGCGTCGTCCAAAAGGCACCGCATTGGCCAAAAGTTATCTTTGCAGAATGCATTTTCCCATCTTTTTTACTAAGTGTTGTACTCAGCAGCCCATTAGTGGCCTTATTTCGCCCAAAGAAGACATGCATATGATTATTGTAATGGGCCTCCTAAGCCCAAGACTAGGGGCCCAAATCCACATTTTTACCTATAAATAGACCCCTAGGGGCCTAGTTATGGGGTTGAGAAATATTAATTACTCACTTTCTCTCTCTAGCTCTCACTTCTCTCTAGAATTAAATACTCTATCACTTTCTATCACACTTATATTATCTAATAAGATCATAATACTCTCAAATCTCAATAGCTCTAATATAAAAAAAACTAATGTGTTGTTGCCCAGAGACTCGCCAATTGTTGCCATGCAACCTATTGTCACCATCGTCACCACTATTAAAATCTAAAGGTCACATTTTCTATAAACTCAAAAGATAAATCACCAAAATAAATGGGGAAAGTCCTAGACTCCCGATTGCCTTTTATCAAGCATTATACGTAGTAAATAACAAAAAGAAATTTACACATGACGAAAAACAAAAACAACTTGAGAGAATAAAATACAAAAATTACAACATTCAATAAAGATACATAATATCCTTATTGAGTGTATGAAGCCTTTTACAAAAATTACAACTTCATAGTGATGATTGAAAAGATGATGTCAGTGTTAGTCTTTTGACGAGATGACGAGCTACAAGATTTAGATCAAGTTGCGATGTCGACACCTTTATTCAGCCATCCACTCTTTTTATATATCATGGAGCGGCAACGATACCGACAAATGTTTTTCTCTATATTCTATAAAAACTTACAGAGTAAAATATAAAAGTGTATTTTATCCCGTGCACGACACAGGTAAAAATATTAGTAATATATAAATGTTACATTATTCTAAATGGTGAGTAGAATAAAGTGAAAGTCAATAAGGGAAAACTGTCAAATAGGTCCTTGAACTTTCATAAAAAAGTCAAATAAATCCTTATACAGGAGGCTCTGTCTGGCCGTCGCGATTTGGGGGCTAATCAACTTTTCGGCATAGTACAGGGTTATTTGATAGTTTTCCTTTTTTTTTCTTTATGAGTAGGTGAGACATTTAATGAAAATGTTGCTAAGTTTCTTTTTTTTAAAATAAAAGTTGCATTCTGAGTGAGTTACATATAGCATATAGCTTGTATATCTTTCATGTTTTGTAATTAAAACTTAGAGCCCGTTTGGTAGCACCAAAATCGGTTGTTTTGGCTGATTCTGCTGAAATTTATGATATTCTGGCTGGAGTGGCTGTTTTGGCTGATTCTGCTGATTTAAGAAAAAAATATTTTAAAAATATATTTTATAAATAAATTAAAGAAAAAATTATATGTAAAAATAGCTAAAATGGTCCTCTACAGTAACTTCAGCCAATACAGCCAGAAAAGTAACTCCAACCTTACTTTTTCGGCTTATTACACAATTCAGCGCGCGAAAGTAAAAGTTACGTGTTTGGTGAAAAAGCTGGCTGATAAGCCTGATAAGCCGAAAACAGAGTTCTCCAAACGGGCTCTTATTCATCGTAGTACATGTTGTGGGAAAATTTAAGCGATACATGGGTAACTGTTTATTTAAAGCTCTGCCCTCACCCTATGTTTTGAAGATGGTCATACTAACCTATGCGCATAAAATTGTAAATGACCTCATTGAGAACAAATGCAAGAGCTACCTGTCTTCTGCTGAGTACAATGGGAAGCTTATTAGGTTAGGAAGGAAGCTTTTACTGTACGTGATTGTGTCAAAGACTCGAAGGGATGAAAATTGCAGCACTTGTAGTAGTAGGCCCTAGCAGAATCATTTAAATGATTATTCTTCTATCTATGCTTAAAAGCTTTACAAATTAGTACAAGGTAAAGTAATAAGAATATTCAAGGAGTATATACTAATTCTATTATTTTTATCTAAAACGATCACAAAAATATTAAGCAGAAAAAGTCTCATGGAGATGATGACTTAATACACCTAGTTAATAAAATGTAAACAAAAACAAAACTTTATTGCCTATAAATATGATATCCTCCTCATCAATCAAATCTGCTGCATCTTAGTGATTTATTTTTATCCTGATTCCCTGAAGCACCAAACTCCTCCTCATGGAGATGATGACTTTTTTTTTTTTTTGAACGTCGGAGATGATGACTTAATACACCTAGTTAATAAAATGTAAACAAAAACAAAACTTTATTGCCTATAAATATGATATCCTCCTCATCAATCAAATCTGCTGCATTTGAGTGATTTATTTTTACCCTGATTCCCTGAAGCACCAAACTCCTCCTCATCACCCTGCAAATATTTAAAACTCTAAAACTGGAAAAAATGAAGAAAATGGAAAACACTATCAGATATAGGAACCCAATCTAGAGAACACCAGGAAAAGAATAACAAATAAAGGATGGTTCATTTAAGAATAAACTTTCTTAATCTAAAATATTTGTCCAGGATTCTATCATAGTATCATGTGCCCAAAATTTCAATCCCTTAAACGTCAACTACTATTAAATACCAACAGCAAAACCACCTCCTATAATATGAATCAAAAACATTTTGGAAATAAATAAGAAAATGAAAACAAAAGAACTACACTTCAATCACTAAGAACTACTACGTACTAATAAGCTCTGCATTGTTTGGGGTTTCAGGATTAAGAGGCGAAGGCTTCTTAGTCATTCCAAAAACCTTAACAACTGTCTCAACTCTCAAGATATAGCACGATAAATAAATAAACAGAGTGAAGCAAAAACGTTTTAATCAAAATTGGTTTCAGTGGAAGTCACTCCACAAATGATAAAACTCTCTTCGGTAGAAGTGTTACTTCAATATTAAAGCCAAAACAGTCACATTGCGTTAAAAAAGAACCTGCAGCAGGAATTTTGGAAAGTAAACCATTAATATTGAAACACATGAAGACGATACCCTTATCAGCTTTCGAAGGGGAAAAACAAAAAAAAAAGTAAACGAGGTTGCGTGTAAGATAAAGGGTATTTACACCGACCTGTAAACCAGCAAGTGATCTCAGGAACTTTTCCTTGTGCGTTGCAGCCATGACATATGTCCAATTTGCAATATCGCCGAGGATATTGAAAAATGCAAACCTGCAGGACCTATTAAATAGCATTGTCCCGAGAACTCCCCAAAACCCAACAACATATCCGACCCCCAGGCTTGCGTAAAACTCACTCCCAAAAAGCTTATCTTCTTCTCCTTCACTGGATCCAGGAGGAGAAGGATAAGTTGACTCTTCTCCTACACAGCTATTGGGAAGTGGATCTCCACATAGCGCGGGATTCCCCATGTATACACTTGCATTAAAGCTCTGAAGTTGTGTGCCTTTGGGAATTCTTCCAGATAAGTTATTGTTGGACACATTGAGATCCCCTATCCCGTAAATCAGGGCAAGGCTTTGAGGAATGCTACCAGACAAATGGTTACTAGACAAATCAAGAGTATTTAAATGTGCCAAGTTACCAATCCTCGAAGGAATCTGCCCCTTTAGATTGTTTCGTGATAAGTTCAACGAGGCCAACCCAATGAGCGATGTGATTTCAGTTGGAATGTCACCACTTAACATGTTGGATGATAGATCAATGCTCTGCACATAACCTAATATACTTCCAAATTCATTGATCATACCTTTCCATACAAATTCTATTTTCTCAACTTCGCCCATGGATGCACCGTAAATATTATAATTTGAAACAGAGAAATTGAAGGATAACTCATAAGAAATGTAGGCAATGTCATCTCCTTTTAATACAGTCATCATTTGAGTGAGATTAGAAAGACAGTTGGGAAGAGTCCCCGAGATGTGGTTCATGGAAAGGTCTAACAGCTGAAGAGACTGGAGATGGCACAAACTTGTGGGTACACTTGCATGGAAGTTGTTCGATGTTAGCACAAGTATCACAAGTTGTGTTAGACTTTCACCCACCCAATCTGGTATTGGTCCAAACAAATCGTTGTGTCCCAGATCAAAAGATACCAAGCTGGAGCAGTTTTTCATGGATGAAGGTAGAGGGCCTGTAAATTTGTTATGTTCAAGATGCAATGCCTTTAAGGAAGTCAATGAACCGATGGAAGTTGGAAGAGTTCCTGATAGATTGTGATTGTTTCCCAACTTGAGAACTTTCAGGCTAGAAAGACTTGACCAGCAATCCGGAAGAGTTCCTGAGAGTTGATTGTATGACATATCCAAAAGCTCCACACCGGCATGTGCCTCAATGTCACATAAGGAGTTGAGGCCGGTGAATTTATTCTGAGAAAGGTGCAGTACAGCCATGTTGAAGAAAGAGGGTGGAATGACACCTTCTAATTGATTGAAACGCATATCTAGTATACCACCGCGGATTAATGCTTGAGCGCCAATTGCAATTATTCCCTTGATTCCGTTATTAGAAAGATTAATTCGCAAAAAGCGGGTAATAGGTGTATTCCAAAACCAGGAGGGGATTGAATCGGAGATGGCGTTATTGGAAATGTCAAGCTCCGTATAGTTGGCTTGAGTTCTAAGCCAATTCGGAAACTCTGGGCCCAACTTGCAAGAACTAAGGTATATGTATTGCAATTGGAAAGGAGGAAGCCAAGCAGAGGAGACATTGAAAGTGAAATTGTTTGAAGATAAGTCCAGGTAGGTTAGTTTGGAGAGGTTAAGAAAGTGATGTTCAGAAATGACTCCATCTAGGAGGTTATCCGACAAAGATAATACATCCAAAGAGGGGAAGATCGTGAGATTGGGAAATAGTCCTGTGAATCGGTTGCTGTATAAGTTTAGTGTCCGGAGAGGGTGATTTGAGCATAATGTCAATATGGTTAGGCTTCCATTAAGACGGTTGGATCCCATGTTCAGGCCTTGCAGAGTGCATATGTTCCAGATGGATTTGGGGATTTCTCCATCAAGCCTATTCGCTCGAAGACCAAGGTGTTCAAGGACAGAGATATTCCCTAGAGCTTCAGGAATGCGACCTTCCAACTGGTTCGATGCCAGGTCAAGGTAAGTCAACTTAACCATCTTCCCGAGTGTGTCAGGAATGTAGCCTTCTAAGCTATTCCAACTGAGATCAAGATATGTAAGGGCAGGCATGGTGTTTCCAAAATTTTGAGGAATGGTTCCAACAATTCCAGTTCGATTAAGACTTAGATATTGAAGGTAAACCATAGTGTTGTTCCCAATCAATGATGAGATGCTCTGGTTTGCCAGCAAGCCCGGGTTATAGCTAAGATCCAAATACTTCAAATAGCGCAGCTCAAAGAAAGGAAGGCTGGTCATATACATACCAACTTTCGCGGACAGGTTCTTAAAATAAAGATGAATGTGGGTGACATGGGCAGTAGCGTCATCGCACCTAACCCCCACCCAGTCACGGCAGCAATCTTCACTGCGGTTGCCCCAAGAGCGTAGCTCGCCGTTCCCGTCAAAAACGCTGTGCTTGAACTTGAGGAGCACTTCTCTCTCCCCATCGATGCATTTTGGTATGGCGGCAGCAGCAGCCCCACTCATCGCCAGCAGCAAGCAGTAACTCACTCCCACTGCCATTGCCGCGGCTTCAGTGGACGCCCATAACAATGATAATCTACCCATTCCCAATATTCTCAACTACCACTGCTCGGATCTTCCAATTTTGTGTATCTAGTTAGCTTATGTAAGTTAGTTAAATGGGGTACTTAAATTAGCTTTTCTCGTGTTCGTTCGTGTGTGAATACATAATGTGTTTCCCAGTTCCCACTACCAAGTCAAAATGAGGAAATTGAATACTCCGTAAGAGAAGTCGCCCGTACGAGAAAGACCGCATTTTGGTCATCAAATCACATGTGTAATGTGTGCGCGGTTCTGATCTAGTGATCTTTATGAATTAGTGAAAGCGTGTCCGTTTATTTATATCCACGCGTGCACAAACAATTCAGAATCGTTAGGTGCATTTACAAAATACGTTCCACATGTAAACGAGTGTGTAAGTGGATTAGCGGAGTGTATAACTAGCATTTCTTATGGTGTTTATGCAAACTAGTAATTCCACCGGTGCTGCGCACGGGAGTGAAGATGTTTGGATCAGTCATGCATAAACTCAAAGAATTTCATAGTCAATTAACCTAACTCAAAACATAAAAGTAAAAACTAAAACAAAATAATCAAATTAAAGCATAAAATAAAATAAGTATTCATATTTAATATCAAATTTAAAAATAATGTTCAATACAAATCATGATACGATATACGTAGCAATGAGTATGCATGTATGTAAAGGAAGGAAACTATAAATTAGTACACACTTCTTTGTATACTACATTCAACGCTGACTTCGTTGGTTTCCCTTCTTCGTCACATATAACAAACTTTAACCCAGACGGACTTGTTACTCTCGAGACCGCCACGTACAACTGTCCATGCGTAAAAACAGACCAACGGAGGAAGATGCCAACCTTTTCCAATGACTGTTCCTGGCTCTTATTAATGATCATTGCATATTTGCATAGCTTATTTGTTTTTATATACTTTCGTAGTTGCATTCTTATACGGAAGAGTATACTCCCTCTGTATTTTTTTGTTCTCTACAATAGGGTTGGGCACAACACTTAAGGGCGAAATAGTAGGGGTAATGAACAGTGTAGAAAAAGTAGGAGAGGAGATGGAAAAGTATGAAAGAGAAGATAAAAAGTAGGAAAAGTAAAGGTAATTTAGTATTTGTTAAAGGAAAAACTTACCAAAAAGGGAAAATGTAGCAAACTTTTAAATACATCCAAAAAAGGAAAGTGTAGCAAACTTTAAAATACGGAGAGGTATTAAATATTTCAAGGTGAACTTTTTATAAAAATTAAAACCTTGATAAAATTATACTTTCTTTAATTTCAAGGGTAAAATATATTGTTATTTTGATAAATTTAATTAATTTTAAGGTGTAATAAAAATGATTAAATCTAGATAGGATAAAAAGAGAGGAAAGATTAGAGAATGTGGATCTAAGTAAAAATGATTCAATGGAAAAGTTTGTTTATGTAAGGAAGTAAAATTCTAAATATCCTCATGATGAGAATTCAAAGATGAAGAATGATTTAGCTACCAAAAATGAAACAATTTAGAATGATCACATCATTGGAGGTGAGAATTTAGGAGTGAACAATAGACTTTGTTGAGGTTTATTCCTTCAACCCGTGGACCCAACACGTAAGCCCAAAGGTTTCGAGTGGAGTGAGTGTATGAATGTCTAGCCCAACAACTATTAGATGAATCAGGAGACAACAGTGATAGCAGGCAATGTAAATAGGTATTATTAACTCCGTAATAACTCCCCTAAGTACAATCTACTTGCTAAACAAGGCACGTCGGCCGTTCGTCTTACAGGGCAGTTAGAAATGCTGCAAGTAAGAATGCTGAAGCTAGTATGCTAAGGATAGAAAGTTGCCAACCCTTTACAATGAAATAAATGCTCCTATTTATACCCGCCAATGGGCAGGTGGCTGTAGTGACGTGGCAGCCTGTGGACCGCTGGTGTCTCAACTACCAAATCTTTAGCATTAAATGCACTTCCCGCCAGAATCTAGGTTTCCCGCCGGATCAGTGGGGACGTTCGTCCACCGGGGAGTGAGTTGGATTGCTCCCAGGGACCCTTGAGAGATATCGGCTGTTCGTCTCCTGGCCTTGACAGATACTCACCATGCGGACTGGGTTTTCTCCGATGACTACAGGCTTGCTCTGGGGACGTTCGTCGCCATCCCTGGTGGCCCGTGGTTCTGCTCCTTGTCCCTGCATAGACGTTCGTCGGGATGAGCTGCTGGCCTGAGTCCTCCAACACTAGACGTTCGTCCATCCCCGAGGAACATGGGCCCGTGGGCTGGCCTAGTGTTCTAACTGGACGTTCGCCTAGCAAAATGGGTTAGTGGGCCGGACCTCGGCTTGGGCCCTTAACCCAACACAAGTCCCCCACTTCTGATGTTCTGAGCATGCGTAGGACATAAGGAAGTATGAACCTCTCCGAAGTAGACGTCCGTATCTTGGTACTTGTGTTTATTTGCACCTGGTGGAAGCATACGTTCGTGGTCATGGTGCTTGACAGCTGTTGACGGTTCAGGAAACGAGGTGACGGCTGATGTTGCGGCGGCGCATTTTCCCGAGGAAGCGTCATCATTACGTTCCCGTCCCACGCTCAGCGCGTGGGCCGGAATACGCTCCTTGCCACGTGTCAGCCCCTCGTTGGTTTCTCCATCGGTGTTTTTCCTATAAATGCTGGGTTTCCCCTCTGACTTAGGGTTCCCAATTTCTGCTTTCTTGCTCTCAATTTTCCGCAGCTCTTCAAGTTTCCCGAATTCGGCCAACCATACCTTTGTAAGGTAATTTCCCCCCTCTGCTTCTTTTCTTTACCCTGATTTCTAGCCGAAATGACTTCGATGGAGATTTCCTCAAGTTCTGATTCCAGTTCGTCGGGTTCCTCCTCGGGCTCCTCTTCTGACAATGCGAATGCACGCTCCCTGGGAAAAACTAGTGTTTCCGGAACCTCGGGTTCGGCCACGACTGTGGGGACCATCCGGGCTGATGGCGAGCCGGATGACGTGTCTCAAGATAGCGGGAGCGACGCCGGGGGCGGGGGCGCTGACGGGGCAGTAGATGTTATTGACGCAGTCCCCCTGAATGAGCGTCCTGCTGATTATGATTCCGGAGAGGAAGCCGAATCTGGTTCTGATGTGGAGGTGTATGATCTGGGCATCCCCACGGATAGGGAGCGCCACATCTGCCCGATCAGGAGTGCACTTGACCATGACCAAGTCCTCTCCCGCGTGGCCCTCAATAAAATCCGTACCTTCCTTCCCCCGCCGTTCGTCTGGAGTGTGAGAGGTGCTGAGCATGTGATGAGGAGACGTCCGGGGATGATCATGCTTCACCTGGACTCCGTTGAAGCCGGGCTGCGGTTTCCACTTCATGCGTTCTATGTGGAGTTCTTCCACTGCTTCCAGGTGGCCCCGGCGCAATTCATGCCAAATTCTTACAGATTCATATCGGCCTTCCTGGTGCGCTGCAAACTTGCGGGGGTCGATACCACTCTGGAGCTCTTCCATTATTTCTACCGCGTCACTCCTCAGAACGCCGACGGGTATCTGAGCGTGGCCGCACGTCCTGGGAGGCGCCTGTTCAAGAACTACCCTTCGTCCATCCACGACTGGAAGAACCGTTTTTTCTTCCTTCGATACGACGGGCCTCCTCTCCCTCTCCGGTGGAATGGGTACCCCCCAAAGATTGAGTCACCGGAGCCGTCCGACGATCTGCTTCTGGATGCGGAGAAGGTGTTGGAGGGTGGCGTCCGTCCTATAGCCGGATTTCTGACCTTCGAGGCACTCTCTGGGGCAGGCATAGGTACCGCCCGTGTCCCTGGACTTTTTCTACCCTTCGACGCTCGTCTCGGGGCGCCGGGCGGTCCTGTCCTTCGAGGTGAGTGTCTTATTCTATTCCCCGCTCGTCCTCTAATCCTTTGTTATTTTTTGCAGGTCCTCCGCCAGACAGAGATCAAATGAATCATGCCGAGTGCCTGAAGACCAGGAAGGCCAAGGCGGCCGCTGCTAAAGCTGCGATGGAGAAGGCCAAGAATGCCCCCGCCTCGGCGTCCAACTCCTCGGCTTCTGACGCTGCCCGGCGAACTGCCGAGGGTGAGCAGCATCTGATTGCCACTGTGCTGGCTCAGGGTTCCGGGGCCCCTGCTCTCGAAGCCGCCCTTCCCCTGCCGGTCGTCCCCACGAAGACGGCTCCTCAGAAGGGGACGGAGAAAGCCCCGGAGAAGAGACAGAAGAGGGGCCGCGAAGCAGGCTCCACCGGGCCCCTGCTCGAAGACGCCGGCTCCTTGCCATTGAGCCGCCCGGCGGAAGAGCTCTGGAGGGAGATGGCCCTCAAGGCTGGTCTAGAGCTGCCCAGCCGTTCGTCCTCTGAGGCGACAAGCGCTGCCCTGGCAGCCGCTCTTCAGGTAATTCCGTGCTAGATCTGAGTATATCTCTTATTTTCCTTGACGTTCATCCTCTGATCCTTATTTTTCCTTCTGTCATCCAGTCTGGGCTTCTAGTCCTTCAGGCTGAAGCTGCCCGGGAGGCCGACCTGAAGGAGGCCAAGGCCAAAGCTGACGCGGCCATCGTTGCGGCCCGGGAGGCCGCTCGTCGAGCGGAGGCGGAGGCGGCCGCCAAGGAGAAGGAGATCGCCGCCCTGCGGGCAGAATCCCGCCAGCAGCTGGCCAGTCTTGAGAAAGCTGGCTTCAAGCTTGTCCCGGTGCACCCTACTGCAAAGGATGCCAGTTCGGAGTGGCTGATCGATACCTCCGGCTATCGGAACACCGGGGAGTTTATGGACTCCGCCAAGGACTACTGCGCCGGGGTCTTCGCCGACCTGTTCGCCGCAGCTCTGGAGAAGATTCCGCCCCGCCAGCGCCTGGCTCGCGGCGTCCGGATCCTTGAGGGCTCTCCCTTGTCTCGCAAGTTCCTATACGAGGTCGGCGACAGCACCTTCGCCGCCGGCTACAATGAAGGGGTAAAGGCCACCCTACCCACATTCGCCAAGCTGCTGGGGCCCGATTTTGACTTGGCGGCCAACACGGATGACGATCTCCTAATCCAGGCGCTAGGGAAACTGAGGAGGGATCAGCGCCGGGAGGAGGCCAAGGCCAGGGGGGAGATTCCAGAGCCGCCGACCCCCGAGCCTGAGGAAGAGGAGGAGGAGCCGAACAAGGGCAGCAGCC